TACATGTATATGTATATAATTTGTTGAAAAATTTGTACAAAAAACATTTATTTAAAAGAAAAAAATGTTTCTATTTATAAATTGTTTAAATTTAACTTTTATTATGATTTATTATGAATTGTAGAATTAAAATAAACCAGATAGTAACTGGATAGTTGTTACTATGGCGATTGAAATTATCCAACTATATGAACATAGGATTGTGAATTATATTTTGAACATTACTATAAAACTAAGGTGTCAACTAATGGCATAAGTCACCATTACAAAATGTATAAAACTCTATAAAAAAGTCAGTTTTGAAAAGATCGAGGAATGTTGTCATGTGGTTTCTTTACATTAGTTACGGTTAATTAGTTTTAATTAGCAATAAATCTACATTGAAATTTTTATTTATGTTTAGTTATTCTTTAATTGATTTCATCCACTTCATCATGTAAAAGGACTTTTTAAATCAATCATTGTTTTTTTCAAATTATTTAACAAAACTTGATTTAAGAGGTCTACAGGTGAGAGATTGAAATTTTTAAAAGAATGAGTTCAGTTTTAGTAAATTTAATTTTGCAAATTAGCTTAGATAAATAAACATCAAATAGTTTTAGATTTGTATGGGGGATTTATGAAAACTGTTTAATTTTCATAGTTTATATCAGGACTCAATAGCTGAGTGGATAACGTGATGGTGTTTGAAACGAAAGGTACTGGGTTCGAATTCCAGAGTGAACATCAACTCTGAGATGTAGGTACATTCAGCTGATGAGTCCCAAATAGGACGAAACGCACGTTCTGTATTCTACTGCTAGCCACTATCCATCTTTGCTTATAATGCTTATGAATTAACGCTATATCGAGGCAATGCGAACTTTATGCACATATGCCAATTAGAGACTGACCAGTTGCAGTTCTAAACATCAATGGGAAGATTCAAACAAACAATACTAAGTGAATATATCACTGACCGTTTGAATTAGACAACCATTGGAAGCAAGGAAGCACCAAACATTTGTTCCTTATCAGGACCTACGATCTTATAACAAGCGTATAATCATTTTCTATTCATTGTACTTTGTAAACAAATAATAGTATTTCAGTTAGTGAATAGTTTCACTAATTTGAATTATTAGTGGTAGCATTTGCAAGACGTTTATTATTATTTAAATAACTGTGATGTTTACACAGTCATTTAATTATACTATTAGACATAGCTGGAAAGTTATTGAATGAAAATAATGTTAAATACGCGGAAAGATCATATAAATAACTGCCTAAATTATGAACTATTGAATAACTGTGATTTCGTGATTTAATCCAGATGATGTAGTTTCGTATTTACAAGTGATTATTCGATTAGTTAAATTTCTGCATTCATCTTCATTGAATAACCGTCTAATAGATTTCTTGAAGTGTGGAACTATAAATACAGATTGATATTAGCCAATGACTCTGGATGACAACTATGCCTAGTCACAAAATGACTGAAATTGGAAAATGCATCTCAATACACGAACAATATTGTGCTAACTTCAATATCATATACGGCTAAATAAAGCATCATTTGGATTACAAATTGAGTAGTTTTGAACAACAGAAGAAATAGCTTATCACTCATTAGCACTCGAGTAAAACCAAGTTTATATAAATCCAGAGTTTAACAAATATCAGAAGAGCTTAATTTTCATTAATCACTGAACTGAACCATTAGGAGCTATGGATTATAGCATCTATTCACTGGATTAAAGTTAATAGCAATCCTTAATATTTATCAGTAATCATGATCTACAAATCTGAAGATTTGATCAGAAGTTAAAACGATAGTTTATGGTATTTCACTGTATTGTTTGTTTGATTTTTTGTCTATTATTGATAAATACTGTTGTGGATAAATGTCAATGAATCAAAACCAAAGGCTTTGTATAAACTATTCTGAAAAAATATACATCTAATAGTTACTTTGTACTACACAACTCTTCATTAGCTTATGAAACAATTTTGCGAAACAAAACATTTGTTACACCGAAATATAATTATGTTTCTAATCCATTCATTTCACAATACTAATCAATATCTTTATAAAATTACCATTGGACCCTCGGTGTTAAAAGTTTAATAAGAGACTGTGTGGATTTGTTTTGAAAGGAAACTACGAGTATCATTTTTATAATTAATCACTGGAAGAAAAAAGTAATTTGATTAGAAAAAAATTGGTTTATTTGAAAAAAAAGTGTAAATTAAGATTAGTTCGTGTTGGTCTTCTACATTTCACCTATCGTTAATGTGATGTTATGTAAAATAAGTTATTGATTTGTATTTTATCACAAAAAAACCTAAACAAATAAACAAATACTTTGCACAGCTGAAAACGTCAATTGAAGCTAGACCTCCAGGGATGACCTGGAAGCACTGGACGGCCGTTTTGTCCTATTGTGGGACTCCTAGGTAGTGTGCATCCAGGAGTTCGCCTTGGGAGATTCGAACCCAGAACCTACCAGTCTCGCGTCAGAGCACTTAACTGATAGACCACTGAGCCGGCATCCGATGGTATTTATATCTAGCTCCAAACAATCCACGAAGTAAAGTAACCGTTCACCAATTGTCTTTAGTGAATTCTTATCTCACAACAGACGTGGTTTGAACTCCACTAGTCATTGCTTCTCACTAGAACTCCAGGATTTACCTCTCGAAATCAGTCACTAGTTAGCATATTATTATTATCAGAAGGGGTTTTTTGTGGAGGTTAAGTATTTTCAATTGAAGCTAGACCACCAGGGAAAACCTGGAATCACTGGACGTCCGTTTCGTGGATGCGCACTGCTGAGTAATCCCACGATAGGACGAAACTGCCATCCAGTGCTTCCAGGTTTTTCATGGTGGTCAAGCTTCAAATGACTCAGAATTTCAACTATATAAAATTACTAAACTCTCCACAAAAAACTCCTTCAAATAGTTTGCAAACATTTGATAATTTTCATCATTAAACCAAGAAAAAAATAATTTCGCTTTAATGGCTTTTCGAAAATTTAAACAAACTAAAAAATAATATTTTCGTAGTAAGATGAATAGATTATATGTCGTTACTTTCTCATCAGCTACATAGAAGGTGTTTTGGAGAGACTTAGGAAATCGCTCGAAGAAAACGCCTAAAGGGGACTTGAAAATTCTGCAAAACATCTTATCGAATCAGTATTCAATAAAAGTTTATCAGAAGCATCTAGAAACTGAAAAGTCACGCATCACATTTCTGATTGGATGATTACCTATCCTGCTACTATGTTTAGAAAGGTTTCAGTAGTTTTCAGAAGCTTAGGGCTATCTTAAATACCAGAAATACCCTCGATTTTCTGTATATAACCTAACCTTGAAACAAAGCGTTTTTTTTTCGATATTTCGCGCATTTTCTCTTGTGTTCAAGTTGTTGTGTAGACTTAGCCTGTGGGTTACTAGAAGAGCTGAGGAAACTGAATCAAGCGTTCAATTACAAGATTTGTCAGTATGAAGTTTAGCTACGTCACAATAGACGAATATATGTATATATAGAATTTTAATAAATGAATTTGTTTATCAACGAAGCGCAAATGGTTTAGATATTAATTTTCTTTTTATTAACAAATTAGACTAAAATTAATGTTTCATTGTACTTTGCTGATAAATAAGAAAGCGTAAAGAAGATAACAAGTAACATCTAGATACAATGTAAAAGATATTCAACGTTTTACTGTGTTACTGTGTTTCATTCCACTTATAAACTATTTATCCCATAAGAACAAAAATGTCTTTACACTTGAAAGTATGGTGAAAAGTATTTTGTATTTTCTAAAGTTGTCATACTTTTTGAATTCTGAGGATCATATTACTAGAATTAACTTTAGTGAAAGACATGGTCAACTATGACTCAATAGTTTGGTTGTTAATTCAATGAGTTTGTCAGTTATGAAAAATGGTTAAATTGTCCCAATATATATATATATATATATATATATATATATATATATGCGTATTTCATTTTGGTTAGATGTCTGATTTAGAAAGTCATTTTCTATAATAGGCAACCGTAAAATGTATTTTAATCCAAAAGTTATCTTTAAATTTATATAAAATTTGATATTGTGAAAACTCCTTTTTCTCAAAGTATAAATGTGTGCAAAATAATCAAAGCGTTTTACTGTAAGCAAGAATGAATAGTGGCTAGCATTGGAATCAAGGATGCACGTTTTGTCCTATTTCGGACTTGTCAGTTGGATGTGCCTGCATCTGAGTGGGTATTCACTCTGGGACTAGAACTCAGTACCGTTTGCCATTTGCTTGTGCAATGGGGTGAAGTTTAAATTCACTTAGTATTACTTGCTTTGAATCTTTCAACTGACCTTTTACTGTATATTCTTATCATTCTATTAGTTCATTCAGTTTATAATACATATATAAGTAAATAAAAATCTACTCCCCATTAACTAACTTTAATTTTTATGAAAGTAGTATATATCATTATTATATTTAAAATGTATATTTTAGTGCTCAAATGGTAACATGTACCGTCTATAGCAAACATGTTGTGTTTGTTATATCAAAGCTCAATTTATGATTTGTTCATGGTAAATTTTTGGCATTTCAGCTTGTATACTAATGACAACTCTGTGCTCAATGGATCAATTTTTTTGCTGGAGTATATACAATAACTAATTTAATAGAGTAAAACCATTTCACTAGGACTTATTCATGATCTATAATTTTCATTAGTTTATATTCTTATTAGTTTTGTGAAAAATGGTCATTTTAAAATCAATCTAGAAGCCATCTTTTTTCCGAAAATTTAAACTCAGGTCTTTTATTACAGTGATTACTAATATTATTACATATCAATTTCTACCGACCTGACTATATCTACGAACCGCCGACCATTTTGTATTAATTTCCATAATATATTCTATACATTGTTATATATTATAATAAAGATTACTGAAAACTAATTGGAATATATTGAATGTTTATTTGTATATCTTTAATAGGATGCATTGAGACAGTATTGTGAAAGCCTTTGGTACTCTGGATTAGAATACAAACGTCCGACTCATGAAGAAATTGTAAGTGTTAAACTACATAAGTAATCGCTACTTTGTACAACAGTTATTATAATTTATATATTCATTTAAAAATCTTATTTATTCTAACATCAGAAAGCCTTAATGATAATAGGTAGTTATTCTAATTGCAAACGAGACTATTCAACAAAAAATAAAATAAAAAGCCGAATCCATATAGCCTGTTGAAAGGCAAAGATGTGTAATTGGTGGTAGACTCAGTGGCCGAGTGGATAACGCGATAGCGTTTGAAGCGAAAGGTACTGGGTTCGATCCCAGAGTGAATATCAACTCTGAGATGTAGGTACATCCAGATGACGAGTACCGATTAGGACGAAATGCGCGTCAAACTGGATTCCACTGTTAGTCACTATCCATCTTTGCTTATAATGCCTGTGAATTAAGGCTATAGCGAGGCAATACGCACAGTATGCACATATGCCAATTAGAGACTGACCAGTTGGAGTCCTAAACATCAATGAGAAGATTCAAACAAACAATACTAAATGTATTTTTATTGTTTAAATCATTGTAGTACTTAGAAAGTTGACTGGTTGTTAATGGTTCAAAGTTTTATATGTAATCTATCGAAGTGATTTTACTAAATGTTGAATTACTGACAATGAACTCATTCAATCATATAATGAACATACTGATGATAGGATGAAAATTTGTCATGTATTCTGAATGCTTTATCATATTTACGAACATCGGTGGATAAATTTATTACCCAATAGGATTATTGTTTTTATTCGAATATTTATGGATGGTTACAATTTCCGAATTCTGTTAATAAATTTAAAACTCTGTTCGTAGCGTCACAATTTAATATTGATTTTGTGTTAAATTTATTCATGTCTATGCTCTGATTCTTTTATTCATCATTAAAACCTTCGATGTAGCTTTACGTTTATAGAATATAAACAGAATGATCAGACCAGTTGACTTCAACCAGGTCTGTCATTAAAGGCAATGGTTTATGTGCCACTTCATTTCATGGATCAGTTGAAGTTAGACATCAACACCATTGGATGCCGTCCGGCTCAGTGGTCTAGAGGTTAAGCGCTCAAATGCGAGACTGATAGGTTCTAGGTTCAAATCTCGCGAAGCGGGATCGTGGATGTGCACTGCTGACGAGTCCCACAAAGGGACGAAACAGTCGTCCAGTACTTCCATGTTTTCCATGATGGTTCAGCTTCAAATGACTTGTGATCTCAACTAATGAATGATCAATGGGGATATTCAACATTTAAATGATGCTAAATCTTTTATCACCAAATTAAATAAATCTGTAAAAAAATTAAAAATGGTGCCTAATTCTGGTTAAAAGTAAAAAAAAAAGATTGGCAAGTTATGTAACTAAATCGCCTGAAAAAGTACGTTAATGGTCAATTACTCATCAATTTACACAGATATATACATCTCATATAGTAATAATGTATACTGATGTGTTTAAAAATCACCATTTGCTTCATAAGTATTCTGCATTGGTTTTTGTTGTTGTTCAATGTTTACTGTTAACAACTAAATGTTCAATATAGTTCATTGATAATTTATCACAATAAAGTATATTTGAGTTGTCATTTGATTTGATAAGGTAAGATTCTAAGCATCAAGTGTCAAAAATTCTATTAATCCATTCTAATTCAAATTCCATGCAACCATGTCAACGATACACAGAATGTAAATTGTAAATTCATGAACAATGAGCTGTATTACGACTTCGATCGATTATTCACTAACCAATCAATTTAAACTAATAGTTTAAAGTGCCATTTTAATGAATTCAACTCATTATTTGATTTGGACTTTTACGAGTTCTTGTTTAATGTAACACATACCACTTCTAAATGAAATAATTCATATACAGGCCAGATATGATCAGAAGATATTATTCATTATTGTTTCTAATAAATTGAATATTTCAAACAAATATGGCACTATAAGCAAAGGTGGATAATGGCTACCATTTATATCCAGCTGACAAGTCCCAAATAGAAGGAAACGTGCGTCCTGGATTCAACTGCTAGCCACTATCCATCTTTGCTTATAAAGCTTGTGGTTCAAAGCAATATCGAGACAGTCTGAACAGGATTCATATATGTCAACAAGAAACTGATTAATTAAAGTTTGAAACAATAATCGGAAGATACAAGCAAAACAATACCAAATGAATTCAAATATGACACTACTTTGTAATCTTTCAAAATGATGACAGTTGAAATGTTTTAATGTTAACTTTTCCCAAGATTCATAAGTCGTCAGAGTAAAAAAACTATGACATCTATCAAAAGTGGATGCACTTCGACAACAATGAAGTCATCTTAATTATTTTATGATTTTGCTGTATGTTTAAATGTAGTCAGGTTATGATGAAAATTTCGTTTCCATAACTGTACACTTGTATATAAATAGTGAATAGCATTTACGGTTTCCGAGGTCAAAATTTAATTATCCTTTAAATGATGTTCGTTGTTTGTTGAGATGATATACAACTTGACACTTAAATATGATTATTGAATAGTAGAATGCAATTAAATTATTGGGAAACACTAAGAATTCATGTTCACTGACACAGTACAAGACGTAATGTTGACTTGGACATATGGATTTTCAGTCTTTTGTCTATGCAGCTTTAGCCTTGAAGAAGCTAGTGTTTCAGTGGCGACCTAATCTGTATTATCTAATGTTTATTCAGAGACGTTACCCCAGACCTATTCCTAGTTATTGTACAACAACTACACTTTTCGCCGATATTACTCAAAGTTGATTATTTGGTTCAAGATTCATAAAATGTATAACTATTTGATGTTACCCAACTTCAAGAAATTCATGACGTAAATATTTATCAGATTATTAAACTTTTAAACCGTTTATTTGGATTTAAATAAAAGTCGCCACTACTCGTGATAGCTTTGTGAAGTAGCCTGTAGAGATAAAAGCACAATCAGTGACATCACAAATTTGAATTCTTTGGTCTTCATTGACCAAATATTTTTTTGTAAGATGCTCAAACAAGTTTTGAGTACTTTTTATACATTTAAAAATAAAGATCCTTTTAAAAGGCATAAAAGCTGTTGTAAACAGAAATCTTTCTACGGTAAAACATGATCTAATTCAGTAAAAGTCAATCACTTGGTAATATCTTTTCGAAATATACATAATTTTTACAAGTATGTAAAAAGTAATTAGACCATGATATTGATTATATTAAAATTGATAACGGGACTTTGTCAACAACATTACAAGTTGACTATATCATATTATAAACAGCTGACTACTGACTATTAGATTTTGATATAACGGTTTCCTATTATTGACTAGTTTGCTGCAGAATTTTTCGAGTTTCGTATCTTATTGAGTGAAATAAAAGGTTTCATGAGCTAACAATCACTGAAAAAAGATTGAAACTTTTATTCAATGAAACACTTTTGAATGATTATATTACATAACTACTGATTATGGTTGCACCTATAGTATTACTGTTTCCATTTTCTTTTGCTCGGTTTAATAAATTTTAGTTAGCCAAATGTGGAATACTTTTCTATGGGCAACCAATACCAGTAAATATTCTTTATGCATTTTACTATCAACTGGAAAATTTATTCGCTATGAGTAAAGTGAGTTCAAAATCTGGTCAATTATAATACACGAAAAAATCGTACTATTTTTTTCAACAGATCTTAATTTACTTTATGATGGTGTATTAGGTTATTTCATTGTTGATATTTTGGAATGAATTTTGATTAGTCTTAATTGTCATATAATGGATCCTATGTGAATTTCTTCAACGTAGCCATTATGGCACAAGTTTTTTTCCTCATAAGCGAAATATGAGGAGTGGAATACGGAACTCCCACGTCGTTCCGTTTTTGCCCTGATCTCAGAGTTGATGTCTTCTCTATAATTTTAATCCTGTGCTTTCAGCTTCGAATTCCACCGAGAAACGTTAGAGTTCAGTCAAAAATATCAAAAATGGGATAATTCAAAAGATCGACTAGGCGTCTGGAATCAGTAGTTTGGTTATTAAAATTCTTGTCATTTGAAACAATAGGTCCTGGGTTTAAATCACTGAATGAAAATCAACTTAGATCCAATACCTCCACTTGGTGTTAATGATCTAATCGTAGAGCATCTTTTCGATGAAGTAACACTTTAATTTATTCTTAGACAAGGGATATCAATAATATGCATTCACCTCAAAGTGTTACTTTTTAGTTTCTAGTGAGTAATGAATGGATAGTTTGAGATTCAATAATAGAAATATTTGTATCAAAGCAATAAAAACAATCTTTATGGAAATCAATTGATCTCCTACTGCTTTGTAATGGTTATTATTTTTTGCTTTATTTATAAAAATGGAAACAATCATAAAAGTATAGGTGTTTGCTAATCTACATTTCATTTCTATCATAATCCAATATATTATTTCTAATGGTTCTCTAAGATTTATGGTAAAATAAATCATGGTGTGATTTAACTGTTTTGTACTGGCTTATGCATTCGGTGTTCATAGTCATTTAGAAGTCATTTTGAAGCGACCAAGTCATCATTAATTTTCATGGGAATCCACCTACCTTCACGTTATATTGCTGGAACAAATCATGACGTATGTTTCAGTAAGAATTCAGATGTTCCTTATTTGAATTGGTTTGTCATATAGATCAAAACTCGCTAGAATATTACTTATTGCTTTTCAAAGCCGTTGCTAGGATGTATTAATAATCATACCACCTTGGCTGAGATATACCTTATTGTTGTACAGTTGTTTAGACCGAACAATGATGAATCCTGATTTTGCGGGCGCGCTCAACCTGTCGTGATAATAAATACTAGAGATCACAAACCAAGACACTAAACTTATTGAAATAGTTATCCACTCTTTGCTTGAAACATTTAGTAAATAATCCATTGAAGTGAACTTGGTCTAAAACAGTAATAAATGGGATAGACATAAACCTAAAACTTTTGAACGTTTGTTGTGAAATACACCATGGTGTTGCATAAAGTATTCATTATTTAGTCCTTTCTTTTTTAGACATAGAATGATTAGCTATTACCATAGTTATTGACTACAGGTCAAAAAACAAAGATATCTACAATTGAATTATCGATAGATATTTGATTTTCGCTATTTTAAATTATCTCGTTATTGGTATTCTTGATTGAGGTTTAATCTGTCGTAATTGACATATGAACATACTGTGTAAATCGTCCTGATATATTCATATTGTCACACATTTATTTAGAGTAGATAGAATGCGGCTTGTAACAAAATTCGAAATTCACATTATATCCTATTGAATAACTCTAACTACCACATATTTAATTAAAGATCATACCCGTTACATAACTTTCTGTCTATCTGGAATCATCAGTTCAATGAATAACTTATTGAGTGTTCAATGTGTATATTACTGAACTTGAGTACTGATATAAACAGTAACATTGGAATTTAGATACATCCTATGGATAAGCCCCAAAATTAATGAAACAACAGTCCTATATTTCATTACTAGCCACATTTCATTTACTTACTTACACCTGTTACCCCCAATGGAGCATAGGCCAACGACCAGCATTCTCCAACCCACTCTGTCCAGGGCCTATCTTTCTAGTTGTATCTAATTTTTATTCATTCTTCTCATGTTTACCTTCATTTATTCTATTATTATACATATATATCATACATTTTACTTTCTATGAATTTATTTTTAAACGTAACAAAATTTTCATGCTAATTATTAAGAAAGTGTATCATTTAAGGACAATAGTAAAACAACTAATCATTATATAAATTAACAGACCTTTTTTTTCACACAAGATATTCCTCTTCAAAGTGTATAGATCTATAGATGTATTGAACATTTTAACACTCATATACTATTCATCTATAATTTCAATGTTTCAATATACTTTTAAATGTTTGTAATGTATTTTTAAACAACCTTTTTTGACATAGAACCTCATTATAATCTAAATGTATATCTTTAATATATATTACACTTTAAAATATTCATTCATATAAGTAGTATATATACATATAATGTATTACATTGTTTATTGTACATTAATGTAACCTTAGAAATTAAATCATTCTATATAGGAATATTTAAAAATGTTAATTTTCTGTGAATATAAAAGAAAGAAAGAAAGAAAGAAAGAAAAGAGAAGAGAAAAGAAAAGAAACTTGATTAGAAGCATAATAAAAGTGTCTTTAATGAAAATCATATTCATTTAATAAATATTTTTGTTTTAATTTTCTAATTTTTTTTTTGAAATGTGGGAATAATAAATGACTTTTAAAGGTTCGAATGTTTGTTTTATTATATTTATGTACAATTTTGAATATTATTGGTATAAAGTGTAATACATAAAAATAAAAGGTGATGAATTGACGATTTTACTACAAGTGTTTTAGTTCTCATAGTTAATATTAAAGATAGGTAATTATTCAATTGAAAACTATGAAGTACTAGATAAACACAATACAACTAGGGTTTGAGCCCATGACCTAAAGTCTTACAATGAGTGCTTAACTTCCAAACTAATGATCCTGCATAAAATGATGTACATGATGTGGATAGGAACTGTTGAGGGCCATATACGTGAACGAAATAATTTTTGGTGTTTTGTGGTCTCTAGTAGTTAATTAATTAAGATTATATGTAATGTAAACTTGCAGAATTCAACAATCTCCGAAAATTTACCTTTTAAGTCTGTTACGAAATCATCAGATAGTTTACTTACTTTACTTACTTTTACTTACGCCTGTTGCCCCTTGTGGAGGAGCATAGGCCGCTCACCAGCATTCTCCATCCAACTCTGTCCTGAGCCTTCCTTTCCAGTTCTTTCCAGTTACTATTCAGCCTTTTCATATCGGCTTCTATTTCCCGGCGTAGTGTGTTCTTTGGCCTTCCTCTTTTCCGCTTCCCTTCCGGATTCCAAGTTAGGGATTGAGTCGTGATGCACATTGGTGGTTTCCTTAATGTATGCCCGATCCACTTCCAACGTCTTTTCCTAATTTCCTCTTCAGCTGGAAGCTGGTTTGTCCCCTCCCATAAAACGCTGTTGCTGATAGTATCCGGCCAGTGGATGTTGAGTATTTTGCGTAGACAACTGTTTATAAATACTTGTACCTTCCTGATGATGGCCGTAATAGTTCTCCACGTTTCAGCTCCATACAGTAGGACTGTCTTGACGTTCGTATTAAAGATTCTCACCTTGAAATTGGTTGAGAGTTGTTTTGAGTTCCATATGTTCTGCAATTGTAGAAATGCTGCCCTTGCTTTGCCAATCCTTGCCTTTACATCTGCATCCGATCCTCCTTGTTTATCAACGATGCTCCCCAGGTACTTGAATGTTTCCACCTCTTCCAGAGTTTCGCCATCAAGTGTGATTGGGTTGGTGTTCTCCGTGTTGCATTTGAGAATCTTGCTTTTTCCTTTGTGAATGTGGAGACCTATCGATGCGGAGGCTGCTGCTACATTTGCTGTCTTCATCTGCATTTGGTCGTGTGTATGAGAGAGGAGGGCTAGGTCATCTGCGAAGTCCAAATCATCTAATTGATTCTGAGCTGTCCATTGTATTCCGTATTTCCCTCCAGATGTCGAATTCTTCATAATCCAGTCAATCACTAGAAGGAAGAGGAATGGGGAGAGTAGACAGCCTTGTCTGACTCCGGTCCTTACTGGAAATGCATCTGTCAGCTGTCCTCCATGCACCACTTTGCACTGTAGTCCATCGTATGAGTTTTGGATAATGTTGACAATCTTTTCAGGAATTCCATAGTGTCGAAGAAGTTTCCATAATGTTCTCCTGTCCACGCTGTCAAACGCCTTTTCATAGTCAATAAAGTTGACGTATAGTGATGAGTTCCACTCAACTGATTGTTCAACGATGATCCGTAGTGTCTCAATCTGGTCTGTGCACGACCGATCCTTACGGAATCCAGCCTGATGATCCCTTAGTTCGGCGTCTACTGCGTCTTTCATCCGATTCAGCAGCACTCTGTTGAAAATTTTTCCTGGTACTGATAATAAACTGATACCTCTGTAGTTCTCGCATCTGCTCAGATCTCCTTTCTTTGATATCTTGATGAGATATCCTTCTTTCCAGTCCGTTGGCACTTGTTCCTCTTCCCAAATCTTTTTGAATAGAAGGTGAAGCACGTTTGCAGTTATTTCAATGTCTGACTTCAGTGCTTCTGCTGGTATATTGTCAGGTCCTGCCGCCTTCCCACTTTTGATTTGTCTGATGGCCATCTTGACTCCTTCGATCGTTGGTGGAGTGACATCTATTGGAAGGTCTGTGTGGGCTGCTTCGATGTTCGGTGGATTCAATGGGGCTGGTCTATTCAGCAGTTCGTCGGGGTATTCTGCCCATCTCTTCCTCTGTTCTTGAATCTCAGTGATTGTCTTTCCTTCTTTGTCCTTGACTGGTCTCTCTGGTTTGCTATATCTCCCTGCCAATTTCTTCATTGTATCATATAGTTGTTTCATATTCCCTTATCTTGCAGCTTTTTCCGCCGCCGTTGCTAGTTCTCCCATGTATTTCTACTTGTCGGCTTTAATGCTTTTCTTCACTTCCCTGTTTGCTTCTGCGTAGTCTGCTTGTGCTTTGACTTTCTCTGCTCGTGTTCGGCTGTTGTTAATTGCTAGTCTCTTGTTCTTCCTTTCTTGAATTTTGTCCAGGGTTCCCAGAGAGATCCATTCCTTGTGATGATGCTTCTTAGGACCAAGAACCTCCTGACACGTTGAAGTTAGTGCTTCTTTTATCCCTTTTCAGTTGTCCTCCAAAGTAGTTTCTTGTTCTTTCAGTAGATCCTGTAGAGCCTGGAACCTGTTGTTGAGAGTTATCTTGAATTCATGGAGCTTGTCAGCATCTCGAAGGAAGGCTGTATTAAACCTTTGTAGTGCTGTTTGTCCAGTTGTCCAGTCTTTCTTTAGCTTCAGTCTCATCATGGCCACAACCAGGTGGTGATCTGAAGCTATGTCAGCTCCTCTCCGGGTTCTCACATCTTCCATTGATCTTAGGAATTTTTTGTTGATACAGATGGGATCTATCTGGTTCTCTGTGGTATGGTCCGGTGAGATCCATGTAGCTTTGTGTATGCGTTTGTGTGGGAATATTGTGCCGCCTATAACCAATTTGTTGAAAGCACATAGGTTTGCAAGTCTCTCCCCATTTTCATTTCTTTCTCCTAGTCCATGTCGTCCGATTATATCTTCATATCCTGTGTTGTCCACTCCAACTTTAGCATTTAGATCTCCCAACAGGATTGTGAGGTCCTTTCGTGAGCACTTTGCTACAATTGATTGCAGCCTTTCATAGAACTGATCTTTATCATCGTCGTTGCTATCATTGGTGGTTGCATAACATTGGATAACGTTCATTGTGATCCCCTCCTTCTTTGTTCTGAATGATGCTTTGATTATCCTGGGTCCATGAGATTCCCATCCCACAAGTGCATTTCTTGCTTCTTTGGACAGCATTAGAGCAACTCCCTGAGTGTGTGGAGCATTTTCCCCTTCGTGACCGGAGTACAGCAGCATCTCTCCTGTACCTAGCCTTTGTTGTCCAGTTTGTGTCCAATGGGTTTCGCTGATTCCGAGTACTGCCAAGTTGTATCTCCTCATTTCCATTGCTATTTGACTGGTCTTTCCTGTTTCCCACATTGTCCGGACGTTCCATGTACCTATAAAGAGTGTTGCTCTGGTTGTTAGAAGGTGCATCGGTCTCGTGACTTCCGAAGAATTTCGGCTTTCATCATGAGACGTCATTATTCCTTGAACTCGGAGGGCAGAGTTTAAATGGTTTGGATTATTTTTTCTGGTTAGCGTTTTTTTAGCGAGTTAGCTTTTCTACGGGATGGGGTCGCTAACCCTATGCCCAACCCTCCTCCTTTACCCGGGCTTGGGACCGGTAGTAACTCTAGAAGAGCTACAGGCGGAGTTAGTCATAACTAATTTAACTTTATAATTACAACTGGAAATATTTAATCGAAAACATTTAATCACTTTTTCGCCTTCCTATGACCAAAAATCATTGTACGGTTATAATAATATTCATTTTGTGTTTTGTGTAGATGTTACCAATTCCTTCATGTATCAACTAATTAATTTTTTGTTGAGCATTTTTTCCCGTTAATTAAAATTTTGTTTATTTTAACAAACTGACAGAAATAATCTATCCCCCCACGCACATAAATACTTCCTAAAACGCCATAATTATTGCGAAAACACTTACATAAATGTTAGAACTATTATCACCATTGTTGCTGTCTAATTCACATATATCTACTCAGCTGTTGCAGTTATGATATCAGATACAAAACTATCTCACTATCTTATTCCTTTTCTTTTAACATTTTGGAATTTTATCTATCTTTTTGCTAGTTCGTTTTAAATTTGAAATTATTAATCTGTTAGTTTTAATTTGTGCTTTCATTTATGAAAAATGTATATGTAATGCATAAAGTGCCCACTTTTAAAGTGATATTAGATTCTGTTATTAAACCGTTCACAGTACAGTTGAATCCATGTATTATTCAAGTCACTAAAATATAACAGATTTCATGTCATCTAATTTCATTCACTGTAAGTTGATCATCCTGTAAAGGATATAGAATAGCTTAAAGACATATGTAAATAAATAACAAAAGTCGTTTTATGTACAAGATGTTAAATGGAATCAAGTTTGTATTGAAGTGTATTGTTGTATAACTTCATAACGTGCTAAATACCAGTCATATTTATTTTTACACATGTTTTTTTATGCTTTTATGTTCTGATTAGTTAACAGTTTTCCTATACTGCTTCTTTTTTAATCAAACCATTCGATATTACTAACGAAACAACTTCGTATCTTAGAGAAGTCATGCATTGTTTCAACTGTCGTTACATGAACGTAAAGTTTGTATCTGTATTGCGTGTTTGTACGATTTTGATAAACATTAGACAAATTTAACCTAAACGGTAGTGAACGGAGATAAAAAATATTTGATCTCAAAGGATGGATTCGTTATCTACCCTAAATTAATAAGCAGCATATTTTATTAAAGTATTTTTTTTATAAACACTGTCAAACCTGTCTATTGAGAAAATGTAGAACGAGGTTTTGTGAAGATTTCAGTAATTTTATAGTTGAATTCATGAATCGATTGAAGTTAAACCACCATGGAAAACCTGGAAGCCCTATACGGCCATTTCGTCTTATTTTGGGACTCCTTAGCAGTGTTCATCCACGATCCCTTCTCACAAGTTTCGAATCCAGGGCTTATAAATCGCGCGCGCAAGTGCTTAACCTCTAGAACCACTGAGCCAGTATCCAACTATAGAATATAAAACATTGAAATACGGAAAGATATTAAATAAGAACTTTTGGTTTGAAAACTACCAAAATCAATTTACCAAATACACATCTGATTATTCTCATTATTCTGTACATCATTATCTTAATTTCTATCCAAACAATTTATGAATGTTTATTCTTGATTTATGTTTTAGTAAATTAAGATTTATGATATTTTTCAATATTCACCGTTAGTATCAAATATCATGATCAAATTACAGGTTTAATTTTAATGTCTTTCTTTTCTATGTATATTTCATTAGTTCATTTGTGATTATTGATTTCATTAAGTTAGTTACTAAGATACTAAATATATTAAACATTGATAAAAGAATATAAGACTAGATTCAAAGTTCATTTCAATTGTATAGAATTACAAACATAAATATCTAGAAATATATATGTGTTACATTCAATACTACATTTGATAGTAAAATCATAAAGTGACTTGAATGACCTTATTACTAGTATTTTATAATAAATACATGATAACTATTCTGGAATACATTTCAGTCATATATGTTTTTACTGTATAACAATGCTAGATGCTGTCTAGATTGGTAGTGCACACTTATATATATAAGAATTGAGCAGGTGATTCATTTGACTTGTTCTTCCTGTAGTTAACTAACATCTACCAGATTGTGTAAAGTTCATGATAGTTCATTTTGTTCAGAATTATATTCAATTTTCAAGAAGAGGACGTTCTCAGGAGAATTATGATGTACCATTGTGAATACTGTTGTTCAATATATTGAGGTTTAAGCCTAAGTATAGTTTCTGAAGGAAGTGGGGATAACATAAAATAAGTTTATTCTATTGTATGGTGTCTCATACATGCTATACAAACCGACCAAATTTACCAAAATTATTAGAGATATTCAGCAAATCATTAGGCACAGTTTGACTGCCAACAAAGTTCCAAACTCATGGTACAATAATAAATAAAGAGTATAAATTTTTAAAATACATTTATTGCCCCCAAATGCCCTGGTACGGCCGAGAGTGGGGAGAGTCTACTCTCCCTCTCGAAATGCTCTCATATGGCCACGCGAATATATAGCCTCTGTCAGGGAAGTCCTACTCACTGATTTCTCGTGGCGGGGTTGTTCTTCACAAAAGTGAGAGGAAGAAAAGCGAATGTCCGGCGCTTTAACCGGGTTGGTGGATGTGGAGGATCCACCTAGGGGAGTTGGAAAACCCTCATTCCAAACCAATGGTGAACATGGGCTCCAGTATCCTGATGGAACGAATAGCGTATGAACCAACTGTTGGTCATCGGCTACCATCAGACTGCGTCTCCTTACGATGCTCCACTGCCTTGTGGATCACACCTTTAGGTCAAAGGCTCCGGGTGTGGTCTGCTAAGAAAACCACCTGCTTCAGTCTGGGCACCTGGGCAGTATCACAGCCTTCATACAAATCGAATGAGATTTGTGAGGCGCATATTTATCTGGTGCTTCTTTGTACCAATATTTATGTGTTTAAATAAATAAATAATAAATAAAATACATTTATTGGCGAGAGACTGACTGGTTCTGGGTTTTAATCTTGCGAGGCGGGATCGTGGATGCGCACTGCTGAGGAATCCCACAATAGTATGAAACGGCCGTCCAGTGTTTCCAGGTTTTCTCTGGTGGTCTAGCTTCAATTGACTCACGCTTTCAACTATGAAAATACTAAATCTCCACAAAAACCCACCTTCTGATCTATTTTTAAAACAATTTATATTAAAGGTTTTTTTGATGTTTACTTCTGATACATACATTCTAGGTAATTCATTCCATTCGTACAGTTATGGATTGGTTAGATGCAACAGAAAATCATGCTTCAAGAATATTATCAATATATGAAATGAATTCACAGTTAAATGTAAGTTCACACCTATTAACAATAATGCATAAATTCGTTGAGTGTTTACCAACTTAAACCTATATATAAATAAGGCAAGTTCGAGCAACCTAAATGAAGTATTTCAATTAACTAACTGTCTCCTAGACATATACAACATAAAAAATTGAACTCATTGAATAATTAATCGTTTACTTTCATCGATGTTTAGTTCATTCTTCTATGATCAGACAAAAATAAATCATCTTTTTGTGTCCTTTTGTTGACTCCAATATACTTAAATAATGATTATGCTATTAAAATGTATAGTCTGTTTAACTTTGTATACCTTCCATCGATTAGTCACGCCAATAAAATGTAAAAACATGGTGTCGAATACCAGTTGCATGTAAGACATATGTATTTCAGACATTTATTAGAGCAGGTGAACTAATGGTGTGACTATCGAAATTGAATAGATGCAGACAAATGTAGCTGTTCAAACCTACTCAGAAAATAATTAGTGAGTTGGTTTTATATAAAGTAAGTCATCAATGAATTATAGTAACTGATTAAAGTGTAGATGTCAAGGATGAGTAAGGTGAACACAACCATGTCTAAAGTTAACTAACAGTGAATAATTAACAAGAGCACATATATGAAAACAGACAAGGAATAATATAGACAAATAGGGATAGATAGGAATCTATACAATATAATCAATAAATTTACATTTAAAAACGCAAAGGTCAGAAGAAACGTCAAACAATAGTTTGTATCAGTTTGTCATATTAATTCATCATACGAATGTAAATTTGATTAGGTAGTTATCATTAAAGTGATCAAGCATTACTCTAACCAAGTCACAATTAACTGATGTATCTTCGGTAGTATGAGATAATGTCATGCTTAACTTGATTGTTTTAAAACTGTTGGCCCTTATTTTATATTCACTATCTGCTATTTTCTTTACAAGGTCTTTGAGGTCAATTATTTTCCTATTAAGCTTGAAAATAATCCATTTTAATGGTATTCGTTTATATAAGCATGTTTAGATCTTAGTAACTGTCTTTTTTTATTATTCCAGATATTTGTAGAAGTGCATTGGATTACTGAAGATAATATTATTTATAAATGTTCTTTTAGAAATAATCTCAGCGATTGTAATCTGAATAATCCCACCGTTTCGTTCAGACATTTTATCTGTACTTCTTCAAAGTAATAATTATGACCAAAATAATCAAATAATATACATAGTTTGATAATCATATCTACACTAAACGTTTACCTAACCATATTATTATACACCGGTCTTCTTGATTCTAATTGTTACCTTGAAGACCTTCAGACAAGTTTGCTGGACGAAACGTTGAAATTATCTAAACTTCAATCGCTGAGATTATTTCAAATATAATTTTCACACATAATGTCTTCTATATACTTCGTGTATAATTATTATCCGAATCGGGTTCTGTAGAGATTTTAGTGATTTTATAGTTGAAATAGCTAGTCAGTTGAAGCGAGACCACCATGGAAAACCTGAAAGCACTAGACGGCCGTTTCGTCATATTGTGGGACTCCTCAGCAGTAGGCATCTACGATACCGCCTCGCGATATTCGAATACAGGACCCATCTATCTCACACACAAGCGCTTAACCTCTAGGACCACTGAGCCGGCATCCAACGGTGTAAATGTCTAACTTCAACCAATCCACGAAATTGAGCAACCGTCTATGTCTTTAGAGAGGTACTATCTCACAACAGACCTGGTTGAACTCCACTGGTCACTGCTTCTCACTAGATCTCCAGGAAATACCTCTTGGAGCCAGTCACTAGTGAGCAGATGATCATTATCAGAAGTATGTTTCGCGGATATTTTAGAAAATTTAGAGTTGAAATCATTAGTCATTTGAAGGTAGACCACTCAGAAAATTACTGTCAAATTAATAGTTCAAATATTGTCGAATATTTGTATGAAGATAACATAATTCGTGTTATTCGTTTGAATTCGTTTATGAAAAATGTCGACACTCAACATTTACGATCAAACTTAAAACAGAGTTATTGCAAGAAAACGTTTTTATATGCATCATACGTTGGATTATTTCTATAAAACATACAATTGAAGTTTCAAACTCATTGTGATCTTATACCATACGATTTTTCATGTCATTATTGTCAACTGTAAGGACTTTTTCACATAAATACATATTTTGTTATATTATTTCTTAGAACAGCATTTTGAAGAAACATTGGCAGATCATTTAAAAGCACTCAAGTTATGTGATCGTTTATTAGATAATCTGGGTTCAATTTATCATCGTGTACGTCCTTTAAAAAAAGGACAAACTATTCTAGCTAGAGCTTTAACAGATTTTGAATCAAAACAGGTAATTTCATACAAGTTTTTATTAATTTTAAAGGCAGGTGAACATTTAATCTAAGTAATCTTATTTAAAGTCAACTAATTATTACAAACAGCAGTTCACTGAATGAATTCTCTTTTTCTCCGGTTCACTGTTAAAAGTTGTATATTGGTAATAATAAAGTTAGGGAATGCAATACTTGTGCTTGAAAATTTTATTACGCAACATTTAAATTTCAGTCCAATCATTCTATCTGAGAAGCACATTATAGAACAGAGGGCTTATGTTTTAATATATTACTTAAATTATTATAATTGTCAGTCTGTAATATACAGATATTCTGATGGACGTTGAAATAGAACTAGAATTTCAATCAAAAGTCACGATTTACGGTCAGTCTTTCTATTCGGCTATCCAATGAGTTTGAATAACATTTTATTCACCGATTACTGTTACACCTGATAGTGAACTTTTTACATTTTTAATCAGTTACCTAACCGGGTCTTACAAAATCAACGCAAATCGAGTTAGTTAAAATTAGTGAGTGATGGAAAGTCAAGCAAACTCTTTAAGTAATCTCCGTATACATAGGTCAATATAATAACCATGACTACCACGAAAGAAAAGAACGAATCATTCATTAATATTTATTCTAGGTAATTTCAAGTGGTTGTGATAAAAAGGCCCTGATTGGTTAGCTGTATATTTGCCATTCAAATGAACCCTGGTTACAGCACTTATTGACTCATGAGTAAACGTAAATGAATAAGAAGCAATTAAATCCAATAGCCCTATTTATTATTATTAATGGCTTTATTCAGTATTATATTTCTGGTACAATATAGAATTCTCAGAACATCATATTGTAACTCACATCTTACTAAAACTTTTATAGACATTCCAAAGTTCTATTTTAGTCAATCAAATATACATACATAAATTGTTCATTTAGTCATCGGTCATCAAACTCATAAACATACTTTTGTTCATTCTATATGAGATGATCGTCGAACTAAACAAGTGAATTAATCAAAATTGTGATCACTATCGTCAGAACTGGTGTACAACAATGGTGATAAGACACCGAGTGTAAAATTATTCAACTGTATTCTATTTTTTTGCTTATGAATAACTCAAAGAAAAACGTTTTTAGAAAGGGGTCTTATGGAGATTTTAGTAATTTTATATAGTTGAGATCATGAGTCAATTGAGGCTAGACCACCATGGAAAACCTGAAAGCACTGCTTTAAGGCAGTTTCGTCATATTGTGAGACTTCTCATCAGTGGTCTAGTGGTTAAGCACTCACGCGCGAGACGGATAGGTCATGGGTTCTAATTTCTCTAGGTGGGATCGTGAATACGCACTGCTGAGGAGTACCACAATAGGACGAAACTGCCATCCAGTGCTTCCAGGTTTCCCTGGTGGTCTAGGTTCAATTGACTCATGATTTCAAATATATAAATATGTTTTAAGTTAATTGTTATTATTTTAATTTTTTTTGTGGTTAAAACATACTTAACGTACAGTTTTTATGTTTCATTGAAACATTGAATTTAATAAATTTGAGTAAACTGAAAACACAAGAGTGCACTTGAGAATTACTTTGTAAAATTTGAACATTAAACAGTCTTCATTCATATGAAAGGACTTAATTTAAAAACATTATGCAATGAATAACTAAAAAGAAGTTTTGATTTGAGGTAATTTATTTTGTAATTAAGTACACAACATGTATGACAAGTGGAATCATGTGATGATGTCAACTATGAATTATAAGGCTCATTTACAGAGAGAGAGAGAGAAAAGCGAAAGAACGAAAGAAAGAGAGAGAGAAAGAAAGACAAAGTTTACAATAATGTAACAATGCACACATTTTTAAATTTTATTTTAGCAAACTGCAATATATTTTTAGAAAGTGTAAACGTTATAGATACTACTTTTTAATCATTACTATTCGATAACCAAATAAAAATCTACATGTTCATCATCAAGCTATCTATGTATTGGGTATGATGTTAGTTGATACTGCCAAATTACATGGAATGGAGTTCAGCCATATAACGCGGTAGGGTTAAATAAAATACTTTAAACACTATACCAAAAGCTAGAGAGCATTGAAGATATGTTCCATCTTTCGGCACCATTATATAACTATAATATTATACGAAATAAAATTCATGATTTTTAATCAAGACTAATAAGAATTTTAATAATAATAATAATAATTATATATTCTGAAAATAATATTTACAGAATTCACACCAGTTTACAGGCATGATCAGATTGTTATAAAAATCAACATTTAATGTAGAGAACAAACATGAATTATAAGGTTTTATGTTTGCTGGTTTAGTAATTGATAAACAGTTTAAATATGGCATATATCACGGCAAGCCAATGCAACACCAGGGAACTTGTCATTTTTTCATCAAGTGGATAGCCTGATGATTGACCAACATTATTCTGTAAGGTTATTACCAGTGCCAGAGCGAGTTATTATTAATTATCTACAACTAGAGAAGGTAAGATTAAAGCAAAGAGCACGGAACAACAAAACAATGATAGCAAGTAAGAAGTTAAACATTTAAAGTTCCTATAATCTCACTTGTGGAGTAAGATACACTTGCAGGCGCTAGAGCATTTAATGCATTTTCAGAGGAGCAAAAAGCATTAATTGAGCGAACAAACAATGGGAAAGAGTTTAACATACGGATAGTTTGGGGTAAATTATTCCAGAGTCTAGAAAACTTACAGGTAAAGTAATTCATATAGAGAGAAGACCTAGAATATGTTTGTTTCGCTAAAGACAAGGAGTTACGAATGTCGTAATGTGAAGCCTTAGCATATTGAATCGCCTGACTGGATGTGAAGGAGAGTTTGTTAAGTATTTTGAAAAAGAAGATAAGGTTAAGTTTGAGTCTCCTCATCCATAAAGGGTCAAGCCCTAGTTTACTACACCTCGAATTATATGTCAAGACACTATCAGGTCCTAGAGTACGAAGTGTAAATCGTCTCTGTACTGATTCCAGTCTTAATTTATCCTTTATGCGCATGCTACTAAGGAGAAACGCGCAGTATTCGAGGAGTGGTCGAACACAGACTTTGTACATTAGAATACGGGATTCGCTGTTATGAAGGTTTCGAGTTATGAAACCTATAAGGCGTTGAGACTTGGACGTTTGTTTCATTACCTGTTCAGTAAACGACAAGTCATCGGAGTACCTAAGCCCTAGATCTACTACTGTGTGTAACCTAGATAACATTTCCCCATTTATGGTAAGATTAAGGTTGAGTGATGTATCACCGAAGCATAGCCAACCACATTTAGCTGTATTGAGCTCCAGCTGCCATTTTGAGCACCACTGTGCTACCTTGTTAAGCTCCGTGCTGATGCAATTTCGAATATTGCTCAGCTCATGTGGAGAAAATGAGTACACCACCTTAAGATCGTCTGCAAACAAAAGGGACTTACCCACACTAAAACACTCACAAATATCATTAATGAAAACTAAAAAGAGCAAAGGACCTAAGACACAATCCTGAATTACCCCACTTCTAACAGGGACTGCGTTCGACAATGAAGAGTTCATTTTAACTATTTGATGTCGATTGCTGAGGAAGGAATCAAGCCAGGCTAGTAACGGGTTTTCGACCCCATAAGATGCGAGTTTACCTATGAGAAGTTGGTGGTTGACCATGTCGAAGGCCTTAGAAATGTCCAGGTATAGCACTAATACTAGATATCCTTGGCTACGAAGCGAATAGACTAAATTAAAGAAGTCAAAATGACATGTCATACAGGATCGATTTTTAAGAAATCCATGTTGCGAATCACCAATAAATTGTTCAGTCAATAAATAGTTGGATAGTTCGTCACTAATAATTTTTTCCATAATCCTAGAGATAACTGGAGTAATATTTATTGGCCGATAGTTGTTCATGTCAGTCTTATCTCCGGATTTGTAACGTGGTATGATGTACGCGGTTTTCCAACGGTCAGGATAAGAGCCTGATTCCATAGAGAGGGTAAACAGTTTAAGGAGAAGAAGTTGGATATCTGGACCACCATATTTGTAGAGAAATGATGAAATCCCGTCTGCACCGTGACCTTTCGAAACCTTGAGCTTATTTATAACCTTACTAATTTTCAGACATGTGAAGGAGATAGATGTTATTGATATTATTTTGTCCTTAAATCGTTCACTAGGACATTCTTCAGATGAACATTTTATAGCTATTAACGTCTGACACAGATGTCTCGAAGTACACTCATTCAAGCAATTTCTTTCAATATACTAATATATTTTGAGATGTTGAAGAAGAATTGTAGCTTAGGTGGATAATTTTGATGGAGTTTTGTTCTCTGAGATGGATGATTTGGTCGTGGAGCTTTCATCGTTGTTCAGAGGGACGATGAAAGCTCCACGACCAAATCATCCATCTCAGAGAACAAAACTCCATCAAAATACTAATATATTTTCTTTAGAATAATAAAACAAGTTAGATTACACGAAACAGAAGAAGAATGACATTTTAATCACATGAAGAAAGTTGTTGAAACTTTTATAAAACTTTATTATTACCCCTAAAGATATTTTAAACTAGATCAAAATGAAGTACTTACAATTTACTAGGTGTCATTTACTTTAGTTAATTAAGTATCAATAAACAACCGAAGTATTGTTTTTTTTAAATAAATTTTCTTTTCTTTATACAGATGAAATGCAAGGTATATATGAATCACTTTTATAGGATTACATCCAATCAAAATCCTCATGCATGGCAGGTAAAATTATGCATTGATATACAATGATATTTATACATTACTTTGTTCCGAATGTTAAAATGATATGGAATCAGATATTAATTATGATCTAATTAGTCGAATTGATTTTCATTGATGCCATTATTTTTGTTTCTCTCGGATTGATGAAATAAAGATTTCTAATATAAATACATGTCGAAAACTCACAATCAGTCCCTGTGGTCTTCGCTGATTTGCTAATAGAACAATCTTTTCTGATTAAAGAGAATATTATTATTTGTCACAATAACTAATTTGCTAGGTTTAAATGGCTTCTAGCTGAATTTGCAAGTCACTAGTTATTTTTGGACTGATTAGTATGAGTTGGTTTATTAGGAATTACTTAAGGTAAATTTATTGATGATTTACAGCTTAGAAATGAAAATCTGCCAAAAGATAATATAATCGATGAATAACAGCCTCGTAACCGAAGCAGTAATCTTAACAGGGTATAGCTTTCATGAAAAAATTTGGAAAACTTCAACATACCACAACACTTATTAGGGTGAACAATGGTGATCATTGGTATTTTGACTAAGCACTCAAATATTATAGGGTCTACTGTCAAGCTTGAAGAACTTGGTCTCAATTTTCTGTGAGTTTGTCATTGTACAATGCTATAGAGTAGCAAGCGAACACTATGCACGCCTTGAATTCTTTCTGGTTTGAAATAGTAGTACAGGTGATATCAGTCTCTGATGATTTATATAAAATGTTTACTAATATCCCTATCGCTTGACTATACTTCACAAAAAATTCACATTCTTTTAGAAACTACATATAGTAAACAAATCAATAATATTAAAAGAGAACCCAAAACATTTTCTAGGTTATTATTTATGACGGCGCATTTGTTATTAAACTGTTCTGACAGCATGAAATAAAATGGCCGGTTAGTATATACAAGGGGGCTTGGTGAGCATAAATGCCAAGAGGAATGTAGATATACTAGGTTCTAAGTTAAAATTACAACGGTTGAGCATACTACTTATATTTGCAGATATAAGTAGTACATAGCAACAGTCGTAGGTGGAATGTCTGCGAGCAGAAGGTTGAAAAGATTGAAATGAAGAGAAGAGAGAAGAAAACTGAGGGCACTCATGATAACAACAGCAATGAATTAACATTGAAGCTTGTAGGAGACAATCTTAGAGGATGTGCTAATGTTGTATTTGATACATGATTTCCACATTTTATTAAAATACCACTGTGTGATTGTGCACTAAACAATAAATTAACCTTCCAAATATGAGTGTTCGTTCACTATGATACCGGACGGGTTTTTGTAATTAAATTAACTATTGCTTCTAGAATACTAAGACAATGTCTCTGATCATACGACCTCAGCTTCATCTACTTTTATTTGCAATGTACTTCGAATATTATCGAAGTCGCTGACCATTCGGTCTAACCGTTAAAGTTTCAGAATTATGCTGAATACAATTATTTTAATGTTTCATTTTTTATATACAAAGATAAGTAATCCCGGACATGCAATTCCGTCATTATTCCTCGATGTTTCTACTGAGTTTGGTGAAAAATTAATCCTAAAACGGTAAGTTACAAATCTAACGATGTCTGTCATCAAATAGATATCCTATAAATTTGTCCCAAGGAGTTTTGATTATAATATTAGCAATTATATAGCTGAATGTATAAAACTTTAGATCGAGAGTTGTCAAGTGGGAAAGACTGGCGTTTCCTACTTATCGCCTTCTTAAATTACACAAAAAAAATTTTCCTAGCACATTTCCCAATGATTCGATTTTTTTAACACCAAGCATTACAATTTAAAACATTCATACATCAAAGCATGGACCACACGTTAGAATCTCACTAACTTAGTAGTACTAACGATTAGTGCTAATGTGAATTTTAACCATCAATTTTTAAATACGCTTTTACCATATGACTTGTTTAAAACATTAAATTTCGGAATTAAAAACATAATTTAGGCTTAGGTGTTCAACGGTGCAAAAGCTAAAAAGAGGCAGATGTTTCTTTATTCATCAAATTTTATGTACTATAAAGGAGTTTAAAAAGTATCATTTAAGGTTATGTGGGTGAAGAATAAAGAATCGTTAGATTCTCTATTGTAGATCAGTGAAGTCCTGATGAGTAGAACATGTTTTAGCTCTTGAAATAAAATGTTATATGGTCGTTAAACATTCAAACTAAATATAAAATAACACCCAGCAGAGTGATAACTGAGTTGTAAACATTGTAGTGTAGACAAGTCTACCATTTCAACAATACATCATGAACATTATGACTCAGTAACTCATTATGATGATGTAGTTTCTGTTTTAATGACAAACAGCTCAGAATGGTTGTAACAAGGCGATGGTAGCATGTTATGATCACAAAACGGCAAGCTTGCCACATATTAATATGAGTTACATTGATTGGTTTAAAAGTAATAGCCTTCCAAAATACTTTTGTTGAGATCTATTTTATTTTAAGGGTAATGATATAAGAAATTGATCCTCCTTTAAAAAAATGAAGATCCTGGAGATATATTGAAAGAACTTATAATTTTTCTCGATTTACCTAAAGAACACGTAACTAAAATGTTTAAATAGTAATATATGATTACAGTTGTCATTTCGAGACGGTTTGGTTTTGTCTGTGGTACTCAGAAGCTGATATATTTCTTCACGTCAGCTTAGTATTTATGCATTATGAGTAACGATACTCATAAACAGATAAAAACCAACTGCTGACCTTCCTTTTGAACAAAATGTTGTCACTTCTAGACTTGTTTCATCAACTTGCTTTTCTTAGGGATATTACGTTCACCTAAAACAATGGCTAGTTTGGCAAGTGTTCAGGCTACTATAGTTAAATATGAAATATTCAACTATTTTATAGAAGTAGAAACCTATATAGCCATTCCTTCATATCAATGCTTTAGACCTATCACTACTTACCAAAAGCTCATTTATTTTCTAATCGTCTGATTCGCATATTGATTACCCAATGCTTATTTAGAACAGTGACAAATATTAACTCCTTTTAATTATTTATTTAACAGACTTCAAAAAAGATTTGAAGAATTCCTAATCATGTGTCATGGCCGTGCTCGTCGTCAACTATTCTCACGTATTACAAAATTGCTACATAATTCTAAACGTGTAAGGAATAAAACATTTTTAAAATTGAAATCATGATTTTTAATTTGAGACAATATGGTCAACACTATACTCATTCATAAAGCAAACAAGTGATATTTTGGGTAAAAAGTAGGCCTAATAATTAAGTCCTAATTTGATCAACACTCGAGTATCTTACTGGTTGAGTATTTTATCTTTCAACTGAGTTCCAGTTATAATTATTCTTGTGTTAAATATTTCATATATGAGTATGTTAATTTGTTGCAAAATAATTCATTCCTTTGGCATGTGATGTCTTTGGTCTCAGTTAATTCAAGGATTCATATCAATGATCAAGTCTCATGATCATTCATCATTCGGTCACACAGTACTATTTAGTTCATCTGTCATACGTTATTCTGTTCATTTACTTTAACCATCCGAAGCCCGTTCATCATGATCTCGATTGTTTATACCCCTTCATATTAAAAAGCCTGACTAATTCATTTGGTTTGTACTGCCTTGATATTGCCTTAACTCACAAGCTTTATAAGCAAAGATGGATAATGGCTAGCAGTTGAATCCAGGACGCACGTTTCGTCCTTTTTGGGACTCGTCAGCTGGATGTCCTTTCAAAGTATGCAGACATGTCAATAAGAGACCGATCAATTGCAATCACAAACGTCAATGAGAAGATTCATGTAAACAATATCAAGTGAATTTAAGCTTCACCCCGTTGCATAAGTAAGTGACTATCAGCAATCAGTAGCTGAATGGACAAAGCGATGGGGTTTGAAACGAAAGGTACTGGGTTCGAGTCGTGGAGTGAACACTAACTCGGTGATGCAGGTGTATCTAGATGAAGAGTTTCAAATAGGACGAAACGTAAGTCCTGGATTTCAGTGCTAGCTATTATCGATCTTTACTCATAAAAAGCTGACAATTTGTCAGCATAGTATAGGTGTTAGTTCGGATCTTGAAAGCTACTCCTGTGATTGATTCCGGTGTGTGGTTCTCAATCCTAGACTGCAGTCCCAGTTGAATCAATCAAAAGGACGCTTTCAAGGTCAATCACACCTGAAAAGGTTTACTTAGCTCAAAGGCACCAATAATCATGGCAGTGTAAATCATTACAAATTATTACTTTATTATAACAAAAAAGCTTTGGCTTGTGAATATAATAATGGCAGACAAAATACTTCCAAAATACGCATCCAACTGAATCTAGGGCGTAAGATATGACTAATAATCTACTTCAATTATTTTAAGGTGACTGATCAAATTCGCCTCAGATAGCTATGTCAATAAATCTTTTATGGAAAAACTGAATAAACAGAAAAACTGGATGGCGACAACTGACATACGAAATCATGTGATGCTATATCAAAAGAATAAATAATGTAGTTCGAAGTCATTACATGATATGAAATGATTTGAGTATATTAAATGTGAAGCATATTTAAATAGACTAGCATGTGATCTAAATTGATAAGAAGGTATATGTGTTTCAAACTATGTCAATGACATTTATAAATAAATTCTATTAGAGAATACGAACCATAGATTTTAAGAAGGAAGCAGATTTATTATGAGATATAAATAAATGAGTTCTGTTACTATGCGTTAATAATGAAATGAATGTCACTGTGATCTAGTATAGTTCGGATCTACCGTCAGTAATTTTAATGATAAAATTAAAACTAAACTTCACTTAATGATAAAGATAATGTTCAGTTTGGGGCTGTAAAGCTTGTTTAATTTCATTGAAATCATGAAATTATCAATGTCAGCTCACTACTACTGAGGAGTCCCACAGTAGGACGAAACGGCAGTCCATTGCTTACAGATTCTTAATGGTGGTCTAAAATTGATCGGTTCATGATCTCACTAAAAAATACGAACGAATAGCAAACTTTGTAATGAAAATGAAATGTAATCTTACATTTACTTCTCCTGCTTAATTAGTAAAAGAAAAATTCTAAAAGATTACTATTATGTGTTCAGTCGTCTGGAATATAGTAATTAAGCTTGTAAGTTAAACTACTCATCTAAAGTGTTTGAGTGTTTTTGTTGGTCGAGCATAATTCTAGATGTTATTAAAGTTGAAACAGATAATTATGGAGTACATGTGTTGACTTATAATAATGATAATACATATATTTGAAAAACGATTAGTTATGTCCGTCTAATCAGTCTTTATCATGTTACGTTTGCTATTTGCACCTAAACTTAATTATGTTTGGCACATATATTGCAAAACTACCGATATAGGTGAGATCAGTGATAAAGTTTGAATAGGCATGGGTGTTTTGATTGTCTAAACATTCTGCACACTCATTTCAAATAGAAAAACCAATCAATTTAGGACACGTATCACTGATAATAGACAGTTTTATTCACCCGTTGGATATCTGATACCCACAAATATCTTAACTCAACTGAAAATGGAATACTCTTAAATAACACTCAAGTTGTAATAATTGGCATTAAATTATCAAACTTATCCGAGTCAGCAAGAATATTATTAGGGTTCAGTTATCAGCTACATTTGGTAGCTTTCACTAGAAAATTGAGAACAATAAACTGTTTCAATAAATACAGGTTAGGACTAAGCGATTTATTCTTAATTTTTTTAATTAATAAATAAAAGAAAACAATGTCAAAAACAAGTTTTTATCTTCATACATAAGTGGCTTCTGCGACTAAATCATATGTTTTACTTGTTCAGTTTTAGTGTGATAGCTAAGCCAGATTTATTTGGAACTTAATCTGAACGACATTGGAAATGCATTATTAAATATAATTGGGATGAACAGAATTAACGTCAGAATTCTACATGGATTTTAGGAACAAGCCTTATGTCTTTTTGTGTTTCTCATTTTTAAGATATTTAAAGATAGAATTTGTGGTGAGAAACCGCAATTTCTGAAGCCAACCAATTTAGAAATGAGGTGGATGCTCACTTCTGACACTAGGTGAAGATACTGTATTTCCCGAGGTGTGAGATAGACAAATACAACTGTCTAGTACTCGGCAACATAATTTTATCGTAAATATCAGTTTTGCTAATTATTACTCTTTTTTAACTCTTTCTATAATACACAGTATTCAACACTTCCTGCAATGTTTAAACCAAGTGATTCTCCAGTTTCTTCAAGCGCTCTCTGTGGCTTATACTTTCCACGTTCACCTGATCCAGCCAAACGATGGCGTCCTTCAAACAATGCTAAAATATTTTCTCGTCAACCAGCCTATTTGGATTATGAAAGTCCTCAAGAAGCATTACTACCTCATACAATCCGAATATTATTGACTCGGTTAAGAAATTGGTTACATCAGTTGCCTCCTCCTGGTGTGATTATGGAAAGTTCAAAGTTGTCAACATTTAATTCAAATAAATGTCAACAAAATAACATTAATTTGATCCAAGGAAGTAATGTAGTTAATGAACTGCGTAAATGGTGGAAATTCACTCATAAAACAGGTAATAATAGTAGTAAAATTTCAAAAAGTGAATTCTAAAAGTATAACTATTGCCAAGATGTTAACATTATATGTTTGAATACATCAGTATCAAACTAATCTATCTCGTTTTATAAGCTTAGCTCAATAGACCTCAAAATAGTTGTCAAAAGCTCTCAAATGATTTAAGAATGTAGAAAATAAAAGATGTATCAGTAGAAATCTTTTTGGCATCAATTTTAGATCATTAATAAAAATTCTCTTCTTAGAAATCAAACAAGGCTTTAGTGAAAAAACTGAGTCACAATAACTAATTGTTGGGGATTGGATTCCGCAATACTTTTTTGGAGACAGTTTACTACTTTTGTAGAAACAGTTGATCCTTGATAAGATGACGTCGCTTAATAATGTTAGTCAATGTCAGAATATACATCTTCATTTATTGAACCTTCTTTTAACCAACCCGTGTGATCTTATATTTCTGTTGTAAATGACGCCCGATTTATTGAAGGTTTTGGGAACGACCTAAAGTATCATCAGTTCTTTGATTTATTTAGATTTTGAAAAACAAATCAACTCATTGATCTTTTTATACTAATGTAGAAATAAACCAACACATTACTCATATACAAGATTATATTTGGTTAAAAATGTCTCCAGCGTTCAAATCTCACAGCTATTTACTTATCATCTATTTCCGTTTACCGATATAATCGAATAAACTAGAAAATTGTGCTTGCAAAAACTAATGAAACCTGACTGAAAACAAAAACGAAATCTCATTTAAACTGTTGGAAGTTACAGAAGTCTTTAAAATAGCTTACTCGTATTACACGTTAAAGAGAAACGATTGTATCAATCAATAAAAATGCACCTTAGGCATTCTACTAGGTTTTTGAATTAACTTTGATATGTATAAAGAGGAAATCTATTCTTATGAAAATGGAGCTAAAACTGTCTAGGACAATTTAACTGTTGATAATAAAGTGTCACTCACATTTTATTTATCCGGTTGTAATTTTGAGTTACAGCTAAAACGACATACGTTAAGTAAAAATATATGGTTACTGATTAATTCAATCCCTGATATTTCTCGTAAGCTGAACTGATAAAACGATAATCAACCTCAAAATAAATATATATTAAAAATAATTTGGTACCAAGTATACCGTAAGATATGATGTCAACATAATATGTGTTGTGGGCTCAGATGTTAGCTATATTCCTAAAACTCATTATTGAGGTAGTCCACTAACGGTGTATATGTGTTTAAAGTGACTGATTATTTGCAGTTCTTAACATAAACAATTGATAAATAAAAGCCATTACCAGTATTATAATACACAACATTTACACTTAACAAGAGTATATGATGAAGCTAGTTAGAGCAAACTACAAGTAAACTCAAGGTGCTGTTAACATTTAATATCAACATTATAACAAAACAAATTTATACTTCTGACTTCGGTTATTTATTTGTTCCAAAGAAGTGGCTTGCATTGAGTCACAAAATGTCAGAAATTTTACTTTTCTTCTCATCGGGATATCACAAGTGGTATATTTATTATTATACTTTTGGTACTTGTTAAGACTAATATTTTAAATCTTGCAATGTCTATCTATACTTTGAAATTGAAACCTAAGTTCTGGAATTTCAGAAAGGTTTACACTGTCTGAAATAAATTTTGTTGTTATGTTAGTAGTCATTAAGATAACGAGTTAACTCCTAAAAATTCCGCTTATAAAATACGAATTCTGATAAAAAGATACTGTCCAGTTCAATCATATCCTTAACTGATATCAGCTGGATAATAAGTGACCAGCATACATCTACTGACCAGAAATTTCAGAACCTATTCAGAATCTACTTACTACCGAGTATCCAATTATTTCTACCACTGAACTACGGGCTTTTTAAAATTACTCACTCTAAGGTAAGCTTTTATTTAAGGTGCACAATGTTTGATTTACGGATAGTTCATTCAATCGTATCTCAATGGTCTATGAGCTTTGTTTTTATTATAATACTTAAAGTTCCTATAGTTTATCATGCGTATAGTCACAAACCAGTACAAAACAGTTGTTCATAAGTTCTAATATTCAACTATTCTCAGTTTGATATCAATCCATGATAAAAACCAGTTTCTAGTTGAAAAGTTTTTTTTCAAATCCCTATATGTTAAAAATCATGAAATAATAAGCAAGTATTGTTTGATATAATGTGTAAAATTTGATTGTTTATTAGTGTATTCACGTACAATTAGAAGTATATGTATCTATTTACTTCATCTGTAATGATAACCACCAAATCATATAAGTCATAAATATCTTCATTTTGGGTATTTTCATAATTTAAAACTTTAATTCTATATTTCATAATCAATTTTACCATTAACAATAGTTGAAAATCGTGATCAATTGGAAAAAATAGTTGCCGATGCTACTTTTATAAAAGTAAGTAGATAGTAATATAAAATTTAATTTTACTATTTGTCTGTTTATTTAAATAAACGCCTCTTTTTTATCAAATATAATGTTTATTTCATTTATATTCATACATACATGTTATCCCGAAGAGAATTATGAATGGTAACTTTTGAGGACTGTGTATGCGCCAATACGATATGTATACTTCCTACTGTATAATTGATAAGTAACTTAACTATTCACATTTATGTTCCTTTTATTATGAGCTTTATTTTGACCCATAGACTATTACTATGTGATTTACCATTATTCGGTTATCCCCAGCCTATTAATTACTGTTCCCTTATTCACAGCCACATTTAGCTAAATCTTGTACAAATGTTATTTTCTATTTTATAGTACGATGTGGTCTGTTGGATTGGTATATAAACCCAGTATGTTTGAGAATAATGATTCATATTGCTAAAGTTAATCGGCTTTAAGACTATATGTAACAAGGAAAAGCTGACTAAAAATGCAAAATGGTTTAGATGTTATAGTTAAGTATACAACCTCAAAAGTGTCAATGAAGTATCAGTTAATTCCAATTTAATTATTTGTCATACCATACGTGCAAAAATACAATAATACTAACTACTGTACATTTCATACTATATGACAAAAACAGGGAATTGACACAATTTAGATTTATTTAATTACGGAACATCTAGGCAAACACCTTTGAGTATGTTATCACATAATTCTATGACTGATTCGAAAAATCAATGAACTGGTACTGTCCTAATTCCTAATGATCTATAAAATGATCTCTAATTGATAATTTCATTCATGAACCAACCTATAAATCTTAAAATAAGTTTTTCGCATAAAAAATTTATCACAAGTTTATACATCATAGGTACCCAATGAAAATAATAGCAGACAAACAAAAATACAGGAGGATTGACCCGTATTTGGAAAAAAAACCCAGATTGTATAAAATGTATGATTAAGTTTAATAAACATTATAATTAGAAAGATCACAAAAACAGGAAACAACCTGTTTTCAGGTAGCAGATCAAAGGAGTATAAAAGTGAGGATTTGTTTTATATAACTAAAAATGATAATCACAGTAACAGAAAAAGCTAAATAAGAATCACTTTCAAATATAGTTAAAGGTATATAATATCTTTGGCAAATTATTAAAATAAAGAAAAAGTAAAGATGCATTATCATTAACAGTCTTATCATTATTTTGAATAACTTTGAATGATTCATTTGTACTTTCAATGCATTCTTACTACTTCTTTTCTTCAAAGTAGTATATTTCAATCTCATTTGACAACATTTTCACTTAAAAGACAAATACACCTCATTCATAGTTTAAATTAATCCATCAAAATATTCTTTTTAGTTATTTTAAATGCTTTCCATTTTTACTTCATTTGTAGAAACTGAATGATATTATGCAAACAAAAATTAATACTGAAGTGGAAAAACATAGAAAACAATATGAATCAAATAAAAATTTGACTAATTCAAGGTAGATATGTTTATGTATTAGATCCCTTTCAATGCATTATAATTTTCTAAATCAGTAGTATCAATCTACTATTGTGACCAATAAATATTTACAACCACTTTAACTATTAAACATTAAAATAATAAACAGTTAAGCATTGGGAAGCTACTTTTTTTCCAACATAAAACTCATTAGCCGTTTCCATTAGCAACCATTCCAGAGATTGAAACTGACATCTGTAAGAGTTAGACATAAACAACACCGGATGCCGGCTCGGTAGTCTATCGTTTAAGTGCTCTGGTGAGAGACTGGTAGGTCCTGGGTTCAAATCTGGCGAGGCGAGGTCGTGGATGCGCACTGCTGAGGAGTCCAACGATAGGACGAAACGGCCGTCCAGTGATAATAGGTTTCCCCTGGTGGTCTAGCTACAATTGATTCATGCTTTCAACTATGAAAATACTAAATCTTCACAAAATCCCTTCTGATAATAATCTGTAAAATTAACAGAAAGCGCCCAACCTTTAAACCGTCAAATTAGTATCTAGTGGTTTACATCTCCAATTTCAATTGATTTGTTGAAATGTATAACTTTCTAAACCCAAAATATAGACTGAGCAGTTGTACGGTGCTCAGTATTTTTCAGTGACTTCCACTGATGTCAGATCATGAAGGAAACTATTTCAAAATTGAACAATTAAAATTTGTCGATCTTGTATGGATGTTTTCTACTTTGAATTAAAAAAAAAATACTTTCAATCAATTTCCATTAGTAACTATTAAATAGACAGTCATAATTTCTAGCCGTTTGTCTGTTTCACCAGACTATTACTTTCTCAATATATCGAGTATTTTTTATCTTAATTACTGGTTACTAACATATGTCATTGACTGTTGTTGTAAAACTACTCTTATATGTACATACTTATTCATTATACTATAAATTATCATTATCTGATCAATAATTTTTTATGTCAACCATTAGCACGTTTGAAAGCCATCCAAAGCTTACAAAGGCCCTTGTGGATGAACTACTCTCAAGAATAGGAGCCCAATTTTATCACCCACGATCTGGACAAGTATGGGCAATTTTTCTATGTGTTTATTTTTATTATCCTACTTATCTACTGAAATATTGTAAATAGTACCAGAATAAAAATAAAGAAAGGATAAGGTTTGAATTAAAAAAAGAACTCATTCTTTTTCACAGTTTCTCATCAGCTTCAAACAAACTAAAGTTATAATACTGAATATCATTATAAAAAATTGCTTAGCATACTAAGGAAGGATAAAGATCAGTTTAGTATCAATTATGACCTCTATGAACATTTTAGATCATTGGTTTCCGCTCTCAAAAGTTTATAAGAAGAATATCTCCTTACATTCATTAATTGATAAGAATAACTCTCTGCATCATTTGATGTTTAACATGCTTTAGTTTGTGAGGTTTAGATTAATGTGCAAAATGTAACCGAAATCCCAATAATAAGTTGAATAAGGATTCAAGGTATAAGCATAAACATATTTAAGATAGATGTGTATTTATGTACTGACAAGTAATAATTCAGAGGTTATGTAACGGTAAAGAAATTAATAAGTGATTGGGTAATGGCCCAATATTATAAAATAAACAGATATGTGGAGATCAATCAGATTATGTAACAGGTAAATGTCAGAAAATGAAAGAATAATAAAAATAAAAGGGTTGGAGACAGGGTTGAAATAAAAAGATAAGAAGTCAGAATTAATAAAGGTTATAAGATGAATCCCCAATCACCATGAAAGGAAAAGTCTGATCACGCTTTCATTTTATATATATAAGTCAGGTCAGAAACGTTTGATAACGACTGTCTTTGCCAAAAGGAGTAGGAATGATGTCTTTTATTTGTCTGATAATTGTTTTAAATGCATTACTTACATCTGCTTCATATCCACTATCCAAAAGTTGTCTAGAGATTCAATTTGTTAAAACTTTATTCCTTTTCGGCCTGAGGTTTCTAGGGACGTATTCAAAAAACCTTTTAGAGGTCCTTTTCTCTGTCTTTCCTATGTACTTGCTACTTCAAGTACATATAAATTAATAAATAATATTAGAGGTGACCTCGCAAGAATATTGATTTAATTGTGAATAGTATAACGTCCTATTATGGTACTATTCAGCACCGTATATCCACAACTTCATATTCACAAATCAAATGCGGAACCTTCTGTCTTGGATTCGAACGCTCAATCTCTAGAAAACTTAGGTGGTATCCAACGGTCTTAATGTCTGACTTCAAATGATTCTCATCTGTTACCTGAGGTGGGTTACTATCTTAGACTCGACAAGGATTGAACTACACCATTCACGGTTTTTCAAAAGAACTCCAGAGTTCTTTAAAGCTAGTAAGCGCAAGATTAACAGTAAATTCTGAAATCTCTACAATCCCTTTCTACTATAATGAATATGTCAGAAAACTAATGAATTTGCCATTCGAATATCTAAATCTTTTTAATTTGTTTTGAGAATACCTTTATTTCAAAAATGAACAATACGTTTAATTATCACTGAAATAAGGAAAATATTTTTTTAATATACCATCCAGTTTGTTGATTATTTGTATTCCAACTGATCGTCTTTACATGTTTTTTATTGTTACTGGATTTTAACTAATAGACTTTAGTAAACGGAGTTTGTGCAGATTGTTGACTTCTCACAGTTTACATCAGAGACTGATCTTAGTTTGACAACCGTTAAAAACTAAGAAGCACTAGAGTACAACCTTGTTAGACCTGAGACAGTTATCCATCAAAAACAATATAAAATGGCCTATCAATATCACAAACTGGCCGTAGTTAAACATATTTATCATAGAATCCAGTCTCAGTGATCTACAGACTAACCACTTACTGAGAGAACTGAAGGTTCTAAGTTCGATCCTTAATTGTGTCATAAATCCTCATTGCTAAGTAATTTTATACTAAGACTAAATCATTGTCCAGTATTCCTCAATTTCCAAAGCTCTTATAGTTGAAACCAGTCAATGATGCGAAGAATAAAAAAATATCAAATAATTATTTATCATGACTTGTTTTACTTGTCAAGTTTACCTGATTTTAGGGTAACATGGTGGTTGGAGGTGGTCAACAGGAAACCCTGGACCCGGGTTTCGTGCTACTTGGCACTCGTCAGCAAGGTGTACCTGTAATCTTGAGGGAACTGATGCTCCCTGGCGGATTCGATCCCGCGTCACTCAGCTTCACAGTCAGAGACGTTACCACTGAGCTATTCGGGCCGCGACCGACCTCCTGTAGGATTGAGATCTAATCACAATTGATTGATCACTGGGTGGTGATCAATCTCATATATTAGGGTATGATATATATATAGTGCCCGCAGTGTCGAGCCACCTAGACTGGTGGCCACATTGCAACTTGATCGATAGCATTCGATCAGCACTAAGGACCTGACACGCATGAGATTGATCACCACCCAGTGATCAATCAATTGTGATTACCTGATTTTAAAATAGTCATTTTCACATTTTAAATTCATATCAGTAGTGTTTTATTACAATGTTTAAGATAGAAATTATTTGTTTGTTGGTTTTTAAATAATAATCTAATAAAGTATCATTTTTTATTTTTTTATATTTTTATTCAACTTTAAGTTTAGCTATAGAAGTACTCAACGTATAATGGATGGTATTGATATAGCATTACCTTATACATTTCCTGGAGTACAATTATTTGACAAACTAATTAAAGATGGTGATTAAATTTTTTTCTTCATTATTACTGTGTGTTTTTTTGTTGTTGTTTGTTTATATAAATAATATTACAGTTGTAAATATTTTATAATGATTTGCATAGTTATTTAACTCGTTCATTAACATTTGAGTTTTGTTTAAAATAATGGAGAATAAACTATTACCAATTAACATGTAATACAATTCATTATGATGTATTGTACACAATATGGTTTTACCATTAAATGATGTTGTCAATACCTTGGAAATATTAATTTCAATTTTTAAGATTGTATGAAGTACATATCAAAATAAGTTCATATTAACGTGATTGAACAAAACTAAATCTGAATAGTCACTAATAAGTAAGCAAGTATTTAAATAGGAATAATAATATTTGTAAAATCTCAGCGAATGAATTTGTAGTAAATCTAACGTTTCGCCTGGCAATCTGGTCCAAGCTTTTTCCTTGAAAAAGTTGGATTTACGTTGGATTTACTACAAATTCATTCGCTGAGATTTTACAAATATATTATTCCTATTTAATGTCTTACATCAACTCGGCGCTCAAATACTGTGAAACTGTTCGCTCTAATTTAGACGAGAGTTCTTATATAAGCAAGTATTTGTTAATGATTAAAATTTTGACATGTTGAATCAATAGAGATACAATCCATTGAAATCGTAATTTTAAAAACATGAAATAAAATAATGTAAATTTTTTTTGTTTTACTGATAGAAAAGATTATAAATTAAAATATTGAACAGAAAATATAAAATTATACGTTTTATAAAGTTAAAATCATGAGCTAGACCACCATGGAAAACCTGGAAGCACTAGATGACTGTTTCGTCTTCAGCAGCAAGCATTCACAATCCCGTCTCGTGAGATTTGAACCCAGGTCCTATCAGTCTCGCGCGCGAGCACTTAAACTCTGGAACACTGAGCTGACATCCACCGGTGTTAATGTCTAACTTCAACCAATCTACTTTGATTGTATAAAGATTTCAGTTCTTATTGAATACTTTCACTGAAATGAAATAAATTAAATCAAAGAAACCTTCAATAGAGAATCTAATTAAATTATATGAATCGATTTTTAACATATATATATATATATATATATATATATATATATATATATAGGATATTAATTTTATTAGTAACAGTCCAACAAATACTTCATTTATTTAAAATTTTATAGTTGAAATCATCAGTCAATTGAAGCTAGATCACCATGGAAAACCTGGAAACACTGAACGACCGTTTTGTTCTATTGTGAGTTTTCTTACTAGTGAGTGACTTCAAGATATATTTCCTGGAGATCTAGTGAGAATCAATGAACAGTGGAATTCAACCAGGTCTGTTGTGAAATAGTACCTCTCTAAAGATATGGATGGTTGCTCAATTTCGTGGATTGGTTGAAGTTACACATTAACACCGTTGGATGCCGGTTCAGTTGTTCTAGAGGTTAAGTGCTCGCGCTCGAGATCGATAGGTCCTGGGTTCGAATCTCGTGAGGAGGGATCGGGAGTGCGACCTGCTGAGGAATCCCACGATAGGACGAAACGGTTGTTCAGAGCTTCCAGGTTTTTCATAATGACTTAGCTTCAATTAACTCATGATTTCAACTATATAAAATTACTAAAATCTCCACAAAACCCCCTTCTGATATCATTTGAAATTATCAAGATCATTTATTTGTTTTTATTCTCTTACAAAGATTATAAATTAAGATCTTATTTGAAAGAAATATGAACTTATTCATAAACATTGTAAGTTTTCATAAAATATATATATATATATAAAGAAAATTGATTCCTTCATGATGTAATATTTTTTGATAGATAACTGAAACAATATTGTTTGTTTACATACATATTCAATTATGTATTCTTTCTTCTTAATATTAGGAGAAATGTTAGAGTCCCCCTAGAGGAAGAATATAATTTGGTGTTCCTTTATAATTCTATCAAACACTAATGATAAACTAATAGCATAATAAGGAATTATAATATTATTTCTATTCAATATTATAAACTTTTCAAAGGTACAAAATTTTTAGCATCGAATGTTTAATATAAAAACAAATCTTTCTTAAGCATGAACTTAAATTGTAATGTAGGTATCATTACCGAGTTTTGATTTGATAATTTTTGAATAAATTGAGCATTGAGTAGATTGTTATAAATAAATAAATAAATAAACAAGAAACTTGGAAGTCATGGATGCGCACTGTTGAAGAGTCTCACAATGTAACAAAACGGCCGTCCAGTGCTTCCAGTTTTTCCCTGGTGGTCTAGCTTCAATTGACTCACGCTTTCAACTATGAGAAAACTTGGATTATTCTTAGTTTGGTTATTCATTCTCTGATGATGTATCTTACACTGAGTGACGAAATGTCAGAAAATCTAATTTTTTTTCTACTCACCGGGATATTACAAATATTTTAGTTAATTTAAATTGTAATGATTAAAAATGTGTTTAATACACACTTTCGATGGTCATTAAACTTTTCTACCACTTCAAATACTAAAATTATATACCAATTCATCATATATAAGATGATTGAATTATAATACATTCGTTCCTATTTATCAAATGGTAGATAATAAAGATAAAGATATCAAGAACTGTAGTGTTTCGCTTCGAGTTTTCCAGTATGTAGTTTCGCAATAATTTTTAAATCTTTTATAAGCGCATACATTTAACATTTACGATTTATCTGTTTAAACAAATCTAAAAAAGGTAGGTTAATTGTAATATTTGCACAGTTTGAAAATAAGTGGCCCAAATGTTCATAAAGGATACTGTTATAATAATAAATTGGTTAGATAGGCATCTGTTATCATTGTATGGGAAGAAATATTATGTGATTAAAGTACTAGAATCCAATACCTTATACCTATGTTTTTTTCATTATTTTTAATTGAAATTAAATACTTCGACATACTATAAAGGCTTATTTAACTTTTGATGCAGAACTTCAGAATGTGAACTATCAGAGTGACGTATAAATCTTTACATTAGAGGAATGTAACTTGAGATATTCATGATTTTTCATTCGTAACTCAACCTTTTACAGTTTATTATATATAGTTGAGATCATGAGTCAATTGAAGCTTGACCACCATGGAAAACGTGGATGCACTGGACGGCCGTTTCGTCCTATTGTGGGACTCCTCACTAAAAATTTCCACAAAAAATCCCTTTTCACAGTTTAGTTATAAAACTTAACTGGTCATTTAAGTTATACCTACCTTACACATAAGGTAATCTACTCTCTGAAACTACTTCACTTTTTCTGCAAGCATAAACTTGGTGTTGATAATCTGATGTTATTTCGTTTACGATTCTTTCGTAAACCTGTAAATCATTTAGATAAATAATGCTTGCCAACAGTATATCAGCTTATGTTACAACAAAGATTTCAAGATTCACTTAGTGGTGTTTACTTGTATCATTCGATTGTTATTTGGGACTGCAATTGGTTAGTCACTTGTTTGCATCTTGTGAGGACTGCCTCGATCTTGCCTTAATCCACAAGCTTTATAAGCAAAGATGGATGATGGCTGGCTGTGGAATCCAGGACGCGTGTGAACATCACCTCTGAGATGCAAGTACATCTAGCTGATGAGTCTCAAATAAGGCTAAATGCGCGTCCTAGATCCAACTATCCATCTCTGCTTACAAAGCTTTCAAGTGCTTATAATAGTCTGTTAAATGATTTTTCTTAGATGGAACCCACTTTGTTCTAGCAAGGTATGCAATTAAATTTATATAGATGGAGGAAACTAAGGAAGGCTTCTAGTTGAAAATAAATTCCATAAGGTAGTTTTTAGCGTTGTATGTGTTGATTAAATTATAAGCTAGAAAAGCTGGTCCAGCAGTAACTCTTAGATGACGTCTATTTTGATGTCCAAAGTATCCTTCTTTAAGTGGCAGTTTTAAAAACAGTATACACTTTAAAAATAGCAGCTATTTGATGAGTTTTTTATGAATTAGCATTATATAAATACTGTTTCCCTTTGTAGCCTTACTTATACTCTTTTCTTTACTATTTCCACAACAAAAACTTAACGAGAGGTCGAACTTGGAATCTCTGGATTTTGTAGTTAATAGAACAACAGTCTACATTACTAACTTCAGCTATCATTGTTTAAATGTGTATTCCGTGTAGATGAGTTCGATTTCAATGCACGTTTTCTAGTATAAGCATTTTATCTCGGAAGTCATTGGAAACTGTGGATTATTGAGCTGTGCTAGACACAATACCCGGAATCCTGAATTAGAGCATTTATAAAATCATGTATATGAACCTTACTGGAACCATTCACTAATCCACTATATTACAATCTTTCAAGCTTCTCCAGTAGATATTGTTTCTTTAGATTAGATTGATCGTCACAAAAAACTCAACTAAACAATATCAAGCTAAGTTGTCTTATATTGTTGAAAATGAGTGAATTCAATACCTTTCATTTGATTGTATGATTTACATGATATATGTTGAAATCAGTTTTGATATACGTTTTTTAGTGTAAAAATGGACTTCATTAAACATAAGATAAAATACATTCATTTAGTATTATTTGGTTAAATCTTCCCAACGATGTTTAGGACTGCAATTGGTCAATCTAGTATTGGCACATGTGCCAAATGTGCCTTAATTCGCAAGCATGGTAAGCAGTGGAATCCAGGACACACGTTTCGTCCTATTCGGGACTCGTCATCTGGATACATCTGCATCTCGGAATTGATGTTCACTCTGGGACTGCAACCCAGTACCGTTCGCTTCAAACGCCATCACGTTATCCACTTAGCTACTGAGTGCTGATAGCCACTTACTTGTTCAATGGGGTGAGGCTTAAATTCATTTGGTATTGTTTACTTGAATCTTCCCATTGATGGAGTTTGAAGCGAAAGGTACTGGATTCGAGCTCCAGAGTGAACACTAACTCTGAGATGCAAATACACCCAGCCGACGAATCCCAAATACGACGAAACGCTCGAAATGGATTCCACTGCTAGCCATTATCCATCTTCGCTAAGAAAAAATAGATATTTCAATACTATATTTTATAAATTTAGTAGATAGATCTTTAGTACTCTTGTTAATAACAAATAATTTTGCCCATTTTAGAAACTGTTTATGACAATATATCAAATAAATTCGAAAAATAAGTAGACTTTATCGATTTATAAGTTCCATAATTTTAGTACTAAACACCCTGTGTACAGTTTATATCTGTACTCACTTTCATATGAAGCGAAATAGATAATTAATGTAAGACTATTAAAAGCATTAAATAGAACAGCTAACAATAATGATTTGTTTTAAGACAATATTCGCTTGTATTTATTTCGTTAATGTTATGAAATTTAAAAAAACAAAATCATATGCAAACCAATTAGACATATACAACAACTCAGATCTATGATCTTAGTAGGATTATGAAACAAAGAATTAGCAGTCAAACTCCATGACATGTCTTCACTTATATCAATGCACGTGGACAACCGCGGACACGCATTCGACTGGAAAAATGTGGAGATTTTGGATAGAGGCAATTTCAAAAACAACTAGAGAATTTTTAGAAGCTTGGCACTCAGGTCAATCAGTAATAAACGGACACATTGAAATCAATCCAATTTATCAACCAATCAGGAAAATTATACAGAAATATAGGAACAAAAATCAAACCAATGGGAGATACAACCAAAACAAAGAAATAAACAATGATAGATTTAAGGTCAACAAGAACCAATCAACATCGAGGTGTACAAGACAAGCTGTGAGGCACATGTGGAGAAATCTAAACACTTAACTTCTACCCTAAGTTTGTGCTGATGATGTCGTTTCAGAAGGACGATGAAAGCTCCACGACTAAACTATCCAGCTCAGAGAACAAAACCCCATTAAAACAAATAATCTTCTACATTACACAGTGTCATTTATCACTTTTTTTGCTTTATTAATCATTTGTGAATGTATTCCTCAGATCAACAATAGTACTTTGCATTATTATTATTATTATTATTTAAAGAATTATTGAATAAATTACTTATTCAAAGTAAATATAGGGATGGATATTGAAGATAAATATCTAAAAGCTAGTATAAAAGCGAGAACATTCAAGTAAATGGTGACTACATATTCACTATTGACTAATATCAAAATGAATTTTTCGAAGTTCTAGAGAGAAACCATAGCCTACGTATGTCGGTAATTAGATAGTTGCCCACATTAAACGATCGTCCCTGATGAAGGACTAACAACAGTTGAAAACACAAATTATATAATTCTGGATGAGTGATTTGAAGGAATGGTACTGAAATAAAAATCTAAAGAATCACGGTTAGATCCTATGTAATTTTATGGATCCACACGGTTGGGGAGTAGTAAACCAGAAAGAAACATTTTTCGTACTTTTTGCGTGATTTCAATGATCCTCCAGTTGTTTCCTTTTTCGTAATCTATCTTTAAAATCGCATATACATTTACCAACCATTCTTATGATAGCTTATAAATTAAATTTTGTTTTAAGATGGAATATAACAAATAACCCTTAAGCTGAGTTATTTTAACCCTGTGACTGAAATTCTATCAAATCACAAAACGATATTAGTTTCAAATTATCTAGGAAATTTTTACTGGTGTTTTCTAAATAAGTTCCGATGGATAGGAACATTATTGCCCAAAGAAGTATATTCAAATGACAAATCTTAGATAAGAAAACAGAAACTCTTTTATTGAATTTTGTCATTAACACATATATTATTAAACATTGTGATATATTCAATACTCCATATTAAATAGTCCTACTAACTAATATTGACTGGTATGCACAAAATTATTGTAAATGTTAAAATAACTATCCAGTAAAATTCTGAATAGAAATATGATAAGCTTGAAAAAAAGCACATAAAGATGGTTAACTAAGAGAAAACGAAACAATCAGTAAACTGCTAAATATAGTAAGATGATGTAACTCATTAGTTGACGAACAACATTGTAGTAAATACAATTATCATGTACAATTTCATTCATTTCTTATTTTATAACATTAAACTTGTCATGTAAATCATATTTAATAATGATTTAAGTCGGAAAATTGTGTAAGTGAAGCTGGGGGAAGTGGGACAGCTTGTACTAGAGATGGAGCTTTCGATGATAATGATGATGTAATTGATATAGTAGGTAGATTATTAGATGAATTCATATGAATTTGATTGTAATTATTAGAATTTAAATTTATTGTATCTTGCACGGGTTTATATAATAGATAATTATTACTATCATTTATTGCATAATTATCATTTTGGTTAGTGTAATCATTTCCTATATTAGGTAACTGATCAAAATATCCACTAGCTATATAACTATCATGAATGGATGATAACAAAGGGTTATATGAAGGTTGTAGATATCGAGAAGTATTGTCATTAATATTATTATCATTATTATTTGTAAAAATAGGATTATCCAAATTTACAGGAAATGTTGAATGTTCATTTATTTTATGTGGATCATTTGGTCGATAGGAGTTTAAGTTGTTCATTGATCGACCATTATAACCATCTTCAAAATTTTCAGCATAATTTCTTTTATCCAATGATGATTGTTTCACTGATGTTGCATAACATGGTGGTTGTTTTGCTGTAGCATTCCATGTCATATAACGATTAGATAGATATAAATCTTTTGGAATCGTAGTAAATCCATTTTCATTTAACAATTCACTATGATATCCTGTTGTACCAATAGAAGAATGCCGATAAATTTGTTGCTCTCGCTGTTGTTGATTTTGTTTTTCTTGATGGTGTGGCCCCTGATGTTGATTTTGATAATAATTAGGTGTAGATGAAAAGTCATACATACCATAATTTCTATCTATATTTGTGCTTGTTTGTAATAAGGGTTCGCTAAATGGTGTTGGATAAGCAGCACCTGTGTCAATAATACCATTATTTGTATTTCCTGAAAATATTCTACAGTCGGAACTATCGTAATAATTTAGATCAGTTGGTGATTGATCAATTGATGTCCATTGTCTAGCTGATTTATAATTACAACCTGAATCATGTGTAATTATACTGGAAATATTAGATCTGTCATAGGACATTAGGAAAAAAAGCATTCATCATTAGGATGGTACGAGGAAAATGTAGTTATTATATCTCTAAACTCTAAAAAAGAATAATTTCCTCAACAAATAATAAACAGTACGTATTCTACTCAAAAGCTTTCGGGAAGTTTATGACAGTCTACATTGTAGGGTTCGTTAAAAGAAATCGTTTTTAATAGGTTTACCTTCCATACAAATTATCACATACGTTTGAAAATTTGAGAGAACTGAGTAACAGATATTGTAGATTTGTTTTAACTCGTCAATGATAATAGTCGATAATTATAATGATTTGAAAATGATATTTTTTATTTCATACCACTATCATTAATCACATACATTAAACGTTATCTACGACCTAGGCTGTTCTGCATTATTTAGCCATTCATCACTTGTTTATCACTTTATATATTATTACAGAATATTTAAATTCGAATGAAGTTCTGTAAACGATAATCTATAATTGTGGGTTAGAAAACGTTTATTTGTATCCACTCAAAAATTAAGTACAATTACTACTATTATGATTCATGACAATTTTTCAGTTCTTATAATGTTTCCAAACAAAATACCGAATAGTTAGAAAATATGCATTTGAGTCAACAAATAGAATTATTATAAGCAAAGATGAATAGTGGCTAGCAGTGGAATCCAGGACACACGTTTCGTCCTATTCGGGACTCGTCAGCTGGATGTATCGGCATCTCACAGTTGATGTTCACTCTGGCACTTGAACCCAGTACCGTTCGCTTCAAACGCCTTCACGTTATCCACTCAGCTACTGAATCCAGATAGCTACTTGCTTGTGCAATGTGGTGAAGTTTAAATTCACATAGGACGAAACGCGCGTCCTGCATTCCACTACTAGCCAATACACATCTTTGCTTACAATGCTTGTCAATTGAGGCAATATCGAGGCAATTCGCACAGTATGCACATATGCCAATAACACACTGATCAATTGCAGTGCTAAACATCAATGGGAACATTCAAGCAAACATTACTAAATGAATCTAAATAGAATCATTTACTGTAAATTTATACTTTAGACATTTGTTGGGTTTACACTAGAGGTAAAGAATACCTTTACCGTCATGAATATTTTTTCTGTCGAAAAAGCTTCAAATGAACGTCTTAACATATTCAAGTTTAATCCTATTGATTACATTTTTGTGCATAAATTTAAGAACTGAACGATTACTTACTTTTTATCCGTTTTAGGTTTACGACGCATTAAGCATAAAACTAATCCAACACATCCTGTGCCTATAGTTATAATGAGAATTAAACCAATAGAAGATATGATGATAATTTTTCGCCAGTTCTAATGAAATAAAAAGGAAGGATGAAGGCAATTCATTAAAAGATAATCATTCATCAATATCAAAATATGACATATTACAGACTATATATTAGTGAGATGTCTAAGAATTGAGTATAGCTATGACTAACCTAATTGTCAACGATCATGTTTTTAATTTAGAAGTTAAACTTTTGCTGAATTATGAAAAGAAAACTAATCCTATTCGCTGAAAGACGCACAAAAGAATGTGTGTGTGTGTGTGGTTTACACGATGCCTGCAGTAGACACATTTTATTTTAATAGTTGAATTCATGAGTCGGTCTAAGCTAGACCATCATTGAGAACCTGGAAGCACTGAACAGCCATTCGAACCTAGTGTATGACTCCTCAGCAGTGCGCAGAAATAGTAATGACAATTAAATTTTGATTGATGAGGTAACATACAATTCGACCAATAAACATAATTTCTACTTAGTTGTTCAATTTTTCTTTCTGATCTTCGAAAAATCTAATTAACCAAATTAAAAAAAATTTTAATTCTGTACTCTGATGTAATATTTGTTTGTAAGGCTTCAAGAATTTTGAATAAAAAAAGAAAAAAAAGTTTTGAGGGTTTAAAAGGGAACTCCATTCGCTTCAAGACATTCTATTAGCTATAGTGATTGATAATAAGCTTTCCATAAGTTTAATGATTAATCTATAAAGAAAGCTCTGAGTGGTGTAAAATAAAAACACATTATAATTGAAAGTAACGTACCATAGCATTGAATAATTAATGAGATTAGGGTTACAAATAAATAAATAACTGTATTATAAAACATTACAGTTTAAGCTAAACTAAACTAAAAAGACAAAGTCAGGTAGACGATAGAAAAGTAAGCCAATATTTTGTAAGACAATAGACGCTTTAGGTGAGTTCTTTTATTACGCTCCCCTATTACATGCATATATAAATATATATATATATATATATATATATATATATATATATATAGAATAAGAATATATAAACAAATGCTTCTCAATATTTCATGATTATTGATATCGATTTTCATGGTCTTTGAATTTTATTGATACCACGATACAAGCCTAATTGGGAATCACTTGAACATCGTGAAGCAGTGGAGAGCTATTTCATCCTATCACGATACTCCTCAGCTTTTCGCATCCATGATCCTACTGGGGATTGAACCCAAAATCGTCGGTCTCTCGAATAAATCCTTGATCCCTGATCCAATACACCGACATCTGAATGGTGTTTATATGTAAATCAATTTACACTTCCATGCAATTGTCTTTGAAAGTCTTCAGTGGGTGACCTCCTTACACTCGACATGTGTGCTGCTGTGGATGCGCATTTCTAAGTGGTTGAATGATAGGATGAAATAGACGTCTAGTGCTTCCAGGTTTTTAATGGATGTCTAACTTGACTTGGTTTTTGATATCTGAAAATTTATGATTAGATTGGGCATAATTACCACAACTAGAAATTTGTTTTTCTAGTAAGCAGAACTTTCAGTGTGACGAAGTAACACTGAGCAAAAATATAACGAATACAATAAGATAAACATTCTAATTTCCGATAATCAATCATTTTCAGAAGGGGATTTGTGGAGATTTCAGTATATTTCAAAGTTGAAATATACTGAAATCTCCACAAATCCCCTTCTGATTATAATCATATGCTCACTAGTGACTGACTTCAAGATACATGTCCTGGAGTTCTAGTGGGAAGCAGTGACCAGTGGAGTTCAACCACGTCTGTTGTGAGATAACAACTCACTAAAGGCAATTGGTGAATGGTCGCTCATATTTCGTGGATCAGTTGAAGTTAGACATTAACACCATTGGATGCTGGCTCAGTGGTCTATCGTTTAAGGGCTCTGGCACGAGGCTGGTGGGTCCTGGATTCGAATTTCGCGAGTGCGGGGTCGTGGATGCGCACTGCTGAAGAGTCCCACAATAGGACGAAACGGCCGTCCAGTGCTTCCAGGTTTTCGATGGTTGTCTAGCTTCAATTGACTCATGATTTCAACTTTGAAATCAATCATTTATCACATTACTTATGTATATATATTTATTCTTTGAATCGTGAATAGACTAGTAACTAATCTCAATGGTTTGAATACATTTACATATATACTCATTTACACATACTTGTGATTTAATAGTTTGATTGAACTTATACAACTAATACTGTTATTAACAAATTACCTATAATTTAATTATACTTTTCATTATCCATACTAATATCATCATTACAAAGTGTATTGAATTAGAATGATAATGCATACAATTAAACAGTACACCTATTTTTGATAAACATTCTCATTTTGAAAATATTTATAAAATTATTAATATTTTAAACATAAGTCGGAGACATTATAAACATTGTCTACTATCGATCGCTAGTGTGTCGCATGGAAACTGCATGGAACCTATTTATTACAGAGAGATTTAACCATATATATATATATATATATATATATATATATATATATATATATATATACCTTAATAATACATATGGAAAAGGGATGAGAATATAGAAGTCATCTTTGCTTAGTATTAATGTATACAGAAACATTATTACGTGAAATTCACTGATCTAAATCATTTATACAGTAACGAATTTTAATTAGTTTGTCAGTCTCAGAGAATCGACTATCATTAAACTTGTTTTACATTATAAAATTACATTTGATGAAGAACGAGTTGAATTGAAAGTTATGATGTAGTTTAAATTCACTTAGTATTACTCATTTGAATCTTCCCATTGATGTTTAGGACTGACCAGTTGCAGGCCTAAACACCAATGGGAAGATTCAAACAAGTAATACTAAGTGAATTTAAACTTCACTCCGTTGCACAAGTAAGTGGCTAACAACACTCAGTAGTTGAGTGGATAAAGCGATGGGGTTTGAAGCGAAAGGCACTGGATTCGAGTCACGGAGTGAACATCAACTCTGAAATGCAGGTACATCCAGCTGACGAGTCCCGAATAGGACGAAACGTGTGTCCTGGATTCCACTGCTAGCCACTATCCATCTTTCCTTATGATGTAGTTGTTGATTATAGATTATTTTACAAACATTAATGTAAATTCATTATCACATTTAATTTAGATTTGTTTTTCAGTTCAAATTAGGATTCAGATAACAATCAGTGATTATTTGTGAATGATTCTAAATTAGTAATGCCTTCATAATTAAATTACAAAGCTTTCAACATAATGCTTTATCTAATTCATTTTAAATAACTGTGTGTTATTATTTAATCTTTCATATGCAGTATGACTAAAAGACGAGTACATGGTCTGTACCTCTGAGAGAGCAGTTCGTTTCCTAGCAGTTCTTACGCCTAAAGGTTTTATGATCCTTTATCCGTTATATCTGATAAATAATGTTTGTAACAATATGTTCAAGAAAAATCAACTGTCACTTAGGTACTAAAGATTTCAGTATTTTCATAGTTGAAATCACGAGTCAACTGAAGCTAGACCACCATGAAAGACCTGGGAGCACTAGACGGCCGTTTCCTCCTACTGTGTGACTCCTCAGCAGTAAGCATCCACGATTCCACCTCTCGAGACTCGAACCCAGGACCTTTGAGTCTCGCGCGCGAACGCTTAACCTCTAGACCACTGAACCGTCATCCGATGGTGTTAATGTCTAACTTCAACCAATCCAAGAAGTTGAGCAACCGTTCACCAATTGTCCTCAGTGAGTTACTATCTTACAACAGAAGTGGTTTAAACTCCAATGGTCACTGCTTCTCACTAAAAGTTAACAAAACAAAATATTTCAGAGATATTTGATACTACTTTTCATGATATTCTCGTTTCTTTACATAACAATATTGATATATTTCTTTTTTAAACTTTTCTCTTTTTGTTTTCTTTTTTTTCAGAAACGCTTATTATTTCTCATATTCATAAAAATCATAATTCTTCAACACAAGATGATAATATTTCAATGAATCATGACAATACTTTCTCATCAAATTCTTATACATTTAATATTCAAAATCATCGTCATTAATTCCAATCACATAAAATCTAACTGTTTTACTTATATTTTCAATAATAAAACTTAATAGTAGTATATATAGTTAGTAGTATATATATAATAAATGTAAAATTTATATATGAAATGATATACAATATAGACAAACCTGTTCATGAATAATTTTTGAATGATGATTATTATTTATTGGTACAATGATTTCTGTAAATGATACAATTGGTGATATTGTACTAATTGGTAATGATTGATTATTGATAGAATTGAAAGGATATTGATTAAATGGAATCAATGGTGTTGAATAATTTCTAGAATGATTGAGTTTCAATTGTTGATTATTAATAAAATCTTTAGGTTTATGATCTATATTATCAGTAGTTTTAGTAATATTGAATAAATTTTTATGATGTAATGAATTAGTTTTATTGAATTCATTCGTTTTTAATGGTAGATTGTTTAAGTTTTCTGAAACTAGACGATTAGTGATGATTTGAGTTTTCGATTCACAACGTAAACCTTTATAATTAGATGAACATATACATAATGGTAAGTCAGTAGCATCTATATTTGGATTGTTCATGCATAATCCATTATTTAAACAATAATTTTTATGGTTAATACATTGATCTAATCGACATATTTGAAGCTTTTGATCCATGTAATAACCTAAAGTTGAAAAAGGTTTATTGGAAAGAAAATTAAAAGATAGTTTTCTTTGAAGAGTTGAATGTTTGAAGTGCTCAGAAATTAACATCATAACTCTATCTGAAATTGAATGTAGGACCAATAACTTTGGTTGTGACTGATTTAACTTTGGTCTATATAGGACTTTTACGCTTCATTCTGCTTTAAAAATCCTGTATCCTCATAAATGTTGACTCTTTAACATTTAACTATTGAAAATTAGACCCTAAATACCCTGGTACGGCCGAGAGTGGAAACTGCCAGACCCCTCTCGAAACGCTCTCACATGGCCATGTGTATATAGCCTCTGCCAGGGAAGTCACACTCACTGCCTTCTCGTGGCATTACTGTTGTTTACGAAATTGAGAGGACGAAAAGCGAATGTCCGGCTCTTTAACCAGGTTGGTGGATACGGAAAGTCCACCTACGGGAGTTGGCAAACCCTGCTTCCAAACCAATGGTGCACATGGGTTCCAGTATCCTGGTGAATAAATTGTTGGTCACCGGCTACCATGGGACTGCATCTCCTTACGATGCTGCACTGCCTTGTTGATCAGACCTTTAGGTCAAAGGCTCGGGGTGTGGCCTCCTAAAAAAACCACCTGTTTCGGTTTTAGCGCCCGGGCAGTATCACAGCCCTCACACAAATCAAATGAGATTTGTGTGGCGCATATGTATTTGGTACCCGTTTGTACCAATATTTATGTGTTTAAATAAATAAATAAATAAAGTATCAAGTTATACACCTACTGCATTATGCTTTTCAATCTTGATATGATGATTCATACCTTACACAAATAAATATTTCTACCCCAATAAGTAATTATCTGTCTAATAAAAGTTCAAAATTCTCATCTATTAACTCATCTTAAACTATCGGGTAGCTAAAATACTTCACATTTTCATGCCTAGGGTGATAAAGGTCAATCAGTGATTTAAATATTGAATTTGGCGATTGGTTGAAGTTAGGTATTAACACTCTTGGACGTCGGCCCAGTGGTCCGGAGGTCCTAGGTTCGAATCCCGCGAGAGTGATCGTGGATGCGTACTACTGAGGAGTCCCGTACTAGGATGAATCGGCCATCCAGTGCTTCCGCGTTTCCCATGGTGATCTGGCTTCAATCGACTTATGAATTCAACTGTTAGATTATGGAGTTGCATTCATTGTTCTCTAAATATTTTTGTGATAAAAAAGTTATTAAGGGAGAGGATTTTATATTTCTCCTTGCGTCAATATTTATCTGCTTTGTTGTAGGCAGCAAACTGAATCTATCGATTGTGATACAATGTCACTATACTCGTGATGAGAAGCATATACCTCACTTGTGTCATGTACAAATCTCCTCAGTGGCCTGTCAAGGCACATTGGAAACATTGTTGTCATTACATCTTTGATGATTTCACCGTAGTCTCCACGTTATGTTTATGCAAAGAAATTTATAACTTTACTACATCATAAAATATATGAAACAATAAGTCATATCGAACTTTCAGCAAAGATGCTTGGGTAGCTAGCATACTTGATAATTAACTGAAAGCACTATTTCATATCGACCTTAAAATTATTGAATAAAATAGTCACTGAACTTATCTGTGTAATAAAAGTACATAGATTCATTACAAACATGAAATAATATTAGAAATTTACATTAACTTAGATAAACTGATTTAAAATGTTCACACTACAACTTTGACATTAGATAGATGATTTCAAAAAGTTTCGGCGTTTTAGTTAGTTGTTTGATTTGATTATAGAACTCTGTAATAGTACATACTCATATCGCCCTATTCATTGAAGCCATAACCTTCAAGTCATGTGTAGTGTATATACTACTATTGAATGATTTCAATACATAGAATTCATATGTTTAAAATGGGATTGTTTTCATGCATATATGTACATATAATATTTTCAATAATAGTACCATTAAGAAGATCATAGATAAAATGTAACTAACCTGGTTTACATAACATATTTCCTAGATGATCACATTGATATTCTATAGCTTCAATATTACAAAATTTGTTGCATAACTTTCCGAAATAATTTGGTAGACATAAATATGTGACATGAAAACGAACTATCCTGCATTAGTTGTTTTTTTAGTGACAAAGAAACAAGTAACAAGTAAAACTCTTTTTAATACATTCCATTTTACAAAGTGGATATTAATACTTAAATAAAATTGACCGCTGACATTTAAATACTAAAAACTATGAGCATCTATTGAACGAGAATTGTAGATAAATGTCATTACTTTGATGATATATTTAGTTGCCAAAATTTCAATAACAAGCATCGTACATTATGTATCAGGAATATGAAGCAACAATATTATCAGTTTTGGCACCTGGGCAGTATATCACACAAACCAAACGAGATTTGTGAGGCGCATATGTGTTTGGTACTTTCTTGTACCAATATTTATGTGTTTAAATAAATAATAAATAAACATCAAAACGAGACAGGTTCATATACATGTACATTTAAGAAATTGTATTAGAAAAAATGCAAAACCCCACAGATCTTCCCTCTGTCTACTCTTAACAGATCGTACAACTTTTTTTGAAAAAGTACCAAAGCCTCTACATCAGTTTGTTTATGTCATTGTGTAATATTAGGAACTGAAAACTTTCTTAGAACATAAGACAACTCAACCGTATGTGGACGATGTTTGTAATCTACTGCATATCAACTAAAGTTGAAGATATTCACACTTACAGTCCAGATCAGTAATCTAGATTTCCGGTATTTAATATAAGACTTGAAGAGCATGGATTTAATCTAGTGTATTATCATAAATGTATACTCCTTGAAAGTCCTAAACTATAATTCCACAACTACTTAATATATTCTGAGATTTTCAATATCTCTATTCAACACTAATATCAGTGCTTGACCTTAATTATTGTTTAGATTGAACAAAATTTTACAAACCATCCATTATGGATATTATTTTGGTTTGTCGAGAACTAATTAGTTATTTTAGAGTCGTTATCCATGTAAAGATAAACAATTAATTGACGGTTTATTTATACTTGTTATTATGAACACTAGTCATTACTTTTATTGTTTATGTATATGCATATACGATTCTCTTGTACGAAACCGTCTACAATATAACTAGAGAGAAAATTTATTTATTGACTAGGTTATCAAATACCTTTTCCAAAATAATAATTTAAAAGACTGGATAAGTTGTTAACAATTCAGATACAGTAATAAAATATGTAAACATCTATGATAGTCTTTGTAGCTGCCTCATAAAATGAAAAATCTATTCGTGTAAATAGACTTATATCATCTTTATTCACTCCCGTGTTCAATAAACATTGATTTACAAACTATAATAAGCGAATAAAAATATTCAACATCACAAGGGGTTTTTTGTGGAGATTTAGTAAGTTTATAGTTAAGATCATGAGTCAATTGAAGCTAGACCACCGTGGAAAACCTGGAAGCACTGGACGGCCGTTTCGTCCTATTATGGGACTCCTCAGTAGTGCGCATCCACGAACCCGCTCTCGCGAGATTCCAGGTTTTCCACGGTGGTCTAGCTTAAATTGACTCATGATCTTAACTATAAAAATATTCAAATTAAATCATATCAGTTCTCAAGAGATTAGATAGCTTACTACTTAAATAGTTGTGAATTGTTTGATTGCAATAATTTAATTGTCAAGCTTTAACTACTTCATTAATTCATATTAGGAACTGTGACTAGCGGGTTCATTGATTATATTTATTTGTAGTTGCATGACCTTATGACCCTGTATAATTGCTACTGAAAAGTGTTAATACACAATAGAAATGACATTTTCATTGATTGATTGATATAAATAATCGAATAACCGAATACGTTTACCTGGCTATATCAACAGCTGATAGTAAATATAAGTAAATGTTTTCTTACTCATTACTATTATTATAATTAGTGACTGACTATTATTTGGAAAGTGTAATCTGTTTGCATGTTATTCAGCAGCTAGACCAGTTATCGTAAGTGATATGTTGCCACAGTCAAACAAATCACTTCAGGTTCAAATAAAATGTGAGATCTGATAGGATTTCTGATTAACTTACTAAGGAAACAAATATACACTATTGGTGGAAAACTATGCATAATTTTCTGAAGATATTATATTTATGAGTTCATTGTGCATATATATTGTTGATTTCGGTCAGCCAGTAAATACCTTTAACTCACTCCTGGTTCTCACACACTAGCTATTTGGAAGTGTATTTATTAGTATCGAACAATTATATGATAAATTCTTAGATGTAATGCTTCGTGTGGTTAACACACTCCATCATTAAAAATTTAAAATGCACATTTAGTATTCCCTAGCTTCCAAACATCTTTCATTTTGATAGAATCCCATGACTAATATACTTAGGTTTAAAAACTTTAGATTGATTAGTGTTATTTCCTGAAGAGAATTATGAATGGTAACTTTTGAGGACTATTTATGAGCCAATACGATATGTATATTTCCTACTGTATAAACGCTAAGTAACTTAACTATTTATATTCATGTTCCTTTTATTATGAGCTTTATTTTGACCCATAGACTATTACTATGTGATTTACCATTATTCAGTTATCCCCAGCCTATTAATTACTGTTCCCTTATTCACAGCCACATTTAGCTAAATCTTGTACAAATGTTATTTTCTATTTTATAGTATGATGTGGTCTGTTTGATTGGTATATAAATTTTGTATGTTTGAAATATAACGATTCATACCTCAGGGGCTGAAATTGGCGTTCTGAATTTAACTGGCTGGGCTAGGCAGAAAGCAGGAACGACAAGTGCTCTAGACTGCTCGTACGGGTTTCATGTGTCACTGATCTGATCGATAATTCGCTGCTCTCTAATAGGCGGGTACAAGATAATAACAATTGTCATCACAAGTTATAACAATTAGAAAATCAATTAGTTTATACATTAACTAAAATTTTAAAAAACTTACAATGAAAGATCAGATGATGTGACAGATAATTCCTTTTCTTCTGCTAAACGAAATTCTGTATTACGAAGTTGTTGAATTTCCTGTTCACCAACTTTTTGCACTGTAACTTTTAATTCAATTGGATTCTCCTAGATAGAAATTGAAATCATTCGTAAAAATGAAATAATTAAGATTACAACAACCAAGTTCAACTTTATTATTTATAGATTAGAATTATATTACATAGAACTCTTATGACGGCCTACATTGAAAAGTCGTGCATGGAAGTTAGATCACAGGTTGGTTTAGAGCAAACCATTTAGCTCAGAGAACAAACCTCTATCACGACCATCCACTTGAACTTAACATATTCTCTGAAATCTCAAGATTTGAACTTTTTAGATGATCTAACTCTTCTATCCTATACACAGTAACAAATGCAAGTAAAGACAGTCAGTGTAGCAGAAGCGTCTGCAGCAGTAGGTTCAAACATATACAAGATAAAAAGCAAGATCTCAAAATCACAACGCAGTTAGTACATTACATTAAACTGGGGTTCTTGAATAACTACTTTAATGTTGTATACTTAACTTACTATTTACAAAGTAATATTTGATTTGTGCATAACTTACCGTTAAAATTGTGAAAGTGAGTGGTTTAAATAAATTGTAATCGTGAGGTATGTTGTTCGATGCTGCATATTTGAAGTTTATTGATGAAAACCTGTAATTTACGTTTTGTGTGATACTTTACTTGTCATTAAGATCTTCAGAAATTTTAGTTTAAGTCGTTACATATAAGATGTTCCAACTATAACTTCTGCCTGAATAATGTAATGTTTCGATTTAAGATGGTGGTTGGAGGTGGTGCCAAATAGCACGAAACCCGGATCTAGGGTTTCCTGTCGACCACCTCCAACCACCATCTTATCTCAACATAATGCACGCAGTATCGAGCCATCTAGACTTTTGGCCACATTGCAACTTGATTGATAGCATTCGATCAGCACTAAGAAGGACTTGACACGCATGTCACTGATCACCACCCAGTGATCAATCAATTGTGAATGCTTTGATTTGTTTAAAGGATTTTCGTCTATTGATGGACTATAATAAACAATCAATCTTTTTATTATTTTAAACTAACAAGACTATTACATGTTTCGGATAGATTAAAAGTTATTTGTACAAAAAGAATTAAACTTTATTTTATTTTCATTCAAAAGCAACTTACTACAGATGAGACTAAAAAACTTATTGACTCTGGTGGTCCTTGAAATGCACAAGTTGTTTGAGTAAAACGAGAAATCGGGCCAGTTAGTTGACATCTGTATCAAAGAATTGAACAATGTTTCAGATATTATATTGGATACATTTTACGAGTTATCTTATCATGTATCGAAAAACAATTCGCTTATTTGGTTTAAAAGAATAACCATTTATTATCTTCACTAGACTTATTAGGTATATTTAATCGGACATGTTTTATTGAAGTTGAATTTGGGAATATATCCAGGTATATTCAATTGACCTTCTCAGTAATAGTAATATTATAACTTACATAGTTCTGAGCATAAGATTTTATCTAAATCACCAGGTAGTTTGGGGTTTTAACCTTGAAGGTGATGGATTTTAGTCCATTTGTCCAATATATTTATTCTTTCATAAAAAGGACTATACACATTTTATCGAACTTAACAAAATAGTCCATCCAAACAACCTTACACTGACCTAATGTATCATTTCATCAGAACATGGGTAATGAACTCTAAAACCACTGTTATCTATATGACTGTAGTTAAAACAAAACTGTAGATCTATTGAGAATAATAAGGAGGAAATTTTCCATTGTTAAGATAGTTTTCATTGTGGGCTGATTTCAGCTAGAAAACTATTGGATGACTATTTAATTCTAGTACAAAAGATCTCATCAGCACACAGAGTCGAACCAAAAACTTTCAAGCTTTGTGTTGCATTTTATACCTTGAAGTTGCTGTACCAGCACCCAATGAATGATTATTTGATTTAATTCATGATGATAATGCATCGAAGCACATAGTTCATTAACAACCGTCACATAAAGTTTTATACTCCCCTATAAGATTTTGCGTTATTTGATTATTGGTATTCTTGTCTGAATTTTGGTCGTGGCTTAAATGCACTTGGTTCGATTCCATATGTGAATAACAACGCTGAGGCCCAAGTATAACTAGCTACCAAGTCCTTGAAGTAAAATGAGATATTCTTCCTGAATTTCACTGCTTACCGCAATCCATCTACTCATTTCATATATATAACAATCAATACAACAGAGAGAATAAACATTTCTAACAGACTTACTGGTTGGTAAATTCTCCAGCGCATATCACAACTTTGTAAACAGTATCATCGCATTCTGTGCTGAAATCAGTGCTAAGACCCAATTTTAGTGTAACATTCGCTCGAAACTATTCATATAAAAAAATTAATGATTGACTATTCTTTCAATATTAAAACTATAAACTAATTAAAAGAATTCAATATAAATAAAACTCATTTCCCAAAATGATTTATAGACGTTTTGTGCAATTCGAACGAAACATTCACTATGAATTGGCGTTATATGTAAATATTACCAAACATCGAACAGCACTAAACTGTTGTTTCATCCTCGTTTGAAACTACTCACTGGAGTTAACACATGACCTCATACATGATTAAGTGAATTTCCTATAATCATGTTAAGTGCTCTTGACATATGAAGATATTTGATTTGGTGACAAGGCAGTTTGCCACTCATGACAGCAAATAAATATCGTGTCATATCACAGATTGACAAGAATTAGAAAAGTAAACGAATAACTTCCAGTTCAACAGCTAAAGAAAATCATTTCAAAAATGATATAGGAAATCTTTCCACTATTAAGAATTTCAGTTACAGCAAACTTTCAATCGTACCCTGAAAATATAAGTTCACATTCAAATAACTGATGTTACTTTCATAAATAAAAAGTATCATCAGTTGCCTAATAACCATTTTCATTGGTTCAGCTTATAGAAATAATGAAATGTATAGTATATTTAATAAAACTTGTCGATTGTATACTATATCTTCTATTGCGAAGCAAATTCGATTAATTTAAATAATAGTTACAGTTTAGTCATTTGAGAGTAAATTCTCAAATTCCCAAGGCATCAATACTGAGTAGGTTTTTTTAAATAACCTATGAAAATCAATCAGTCGTCAAATAAATGTCGCAATCTAATAAGTTAGTTGATCTTATTTCATGATAGGAATCTAAGTGTTTCGAACTAACAATATCTCATATTACTTGAAAGCTTAACTTATACTATAGGATTAGTTCAGTGAGACTAAACGTTTTACTGACGGATTTTTTTTATTATCAGAAGGGGTTTTGTGGAGATTCAGTATTTTCACTAGTGGCTGACTTTGAGAGATAAATCCAGGAGTTCTAGTGAAAAAGAGTGACCAGTGGAGTTCAAACCACGTCTGTTGTGAGATATCAACTCACTAAAGACAATTGGTGAACGGGTGCTCAACTCCGTGGATTGGTTGGAGTTAGACATTAACACCATCGAATGCCGGCTCAGTGGTCTATCGGTTAAGTGCTCTGGTGCGAGACTGATAGGTCCTGGGTTCGAATCTCACAAGGCAAGATCGTGAATGCGCACTGCTGAGGAGTCCGACAATGCGATGAAACGGCCGTTCAGTGCTTCCAGGTTTTCCCTGGTGGTCTAGCCTCAATTGACTTACGCTTTCAACTATGACGGATATTTGATAGCGAAATTAAAAATGATGTTTGTAACAAAATCCTGATGTATAAAGAGATCGCTTAACAAAACCTTATGCATCACTACTGATATGATATTCTGAACAAGAGAATGTATGCTAATACTGAGTGGCTTTCTAACTAATATTTTGGTGTAGTGAGATTAGATTTTAAATAACATGCGTCTCTATGTATCAAATAAAACAATATTTTGAATAGCTTAGACATAAGTATCGTTTGTTTGTGTGTGATAAGTGATAAGTCACAAACTTTGTGACTAAGTTCTGATCAAATAATTGTCATCATTACTATGATTACAATATGACCTATTGACTTAAGTATAATCATTATTACATAATCATGAAAATATGTGGATAACAATTATCTATACATCATATCAGTTATTTCACTATGGCCACTATTTGCGACAAACTAATTGCTTAATAAAATAACTGTACATTTAATTCAATATTATAGTAGTATGTATCTAACTAGTTAAATGAATGAAAATAAACAATACATGATACATAAATATATACAAACGAAGAGTGATTCAATCAATTTATACCCATTTTACTATGGTAATAATTATTACTGTTATTACTATTACTATTATTATATTGGCTTAAAAACCGTTACTCACCCAAATATCATGACTGACATATAAAAATGCCTTTGTTTACAGCATGTACATAATTTACTAAACTGTCAATATATGAATCTACATGTCTAAATATTTGAATGCTTAGAGATAATGGTTTTATAGTTAGTGAGTGAACCTTATGAAACCATGTTAGATTGTAAAATATGAGTCTAGATATTTTTTAAATTGAAAAAAAACTTTAATTATAAAAAAAATATGGCAAAACTGTCAGACAGAACTCATGGTTATTTAGTGACAGTTTTCACAATTTATTGATCACTGGGTGGTGATCAATGTCATGCGTGTCAAGTCCTTCTTAGTGCTGATCGAGTGTTATCAATCAAGTTGCAATGTGGCCAAAAGTCTAGATGGCTCGATACTGCGTGCATTATGTTGAGATAAGATGGTGGTTGGAGGTGGTCGACAGGAAACCCTAGATCCGGGTTTCGTGCTACTTGGCATTCGTCAGCAAGGTGTACCTGTAATCTTGAGGGAACTGGTGCTCCCTGACGGATTCGATCTCTTTGATTTGATTCTGAATGAATAATAAATTGAATTGAGTCATCTTTTCCTTGGTTTTCTGAATTCCAGTGATTTTTTTCAGGTGATGTTAGTTTTCAATGAAACATCTATTTGATATTCAGTTGTTAAAAAATGATCTTTGTTAATTTAAACAAAATATAATGAAAGTACCTATCATTTCTATAATTTATTGTCCGACAAAGATAAATTTATGATACAAAAGTGAATTATAAACATTTCACGATATGCTGTCTTAAGAAATCAACAGCTGATTATGAATATACATTTTGTCTATGTTAGACATTGTAAGAAATGGTACTTACTTACTTACGCCTGTTACTCCCAATGGAGCATAGGCCGCCCACCAGCTTTCTCCAACCCACTCTGTCCTGGGCATTCTTTTCTAGTTCTATCCAGTTCTTGTTCATTCTTCTAATGTCTGTCCCTATTTCTCGGCGTAATGTGTTCTTTGGTCTTCCTCCTCTTTCTTAGCATTCAGGATTCCATGTGAGGGCTTGTCTTGTGACACAGCTGGGTGATTTCCTCAAAGTGTGCCCAATCCACTTCCAACGCTTCTTCCTGATTTCTTCCTCCGCTAGAATCTGGTTTGTTTTCTCTCACAGTAGACTGTTGCTGATAGTGTCTGGCCATCTGATCCGAAATATCTTGCGTAGAATACTGTTGATAAACACTTGTATCTTCTGGATAATGGCTTTCGTAGTTCTCCACGTCTCCGCCCCATACAGTAGAACTGTCTTGACATTTGTATTGAAAATTCTAACCTTGGTGTTGGTTGACAATTGTTTTGAGTTCCAGATGTTCTTCAGTTGTAAATATGCTGCTCTTACTTTGCCGATCCTCGCCCTCACATCTGCATCTGATCCACTGTGTTCATCAATGATGCTGCTCAGATATGTAAAGGTTTCCACATCTTCCAAAGCTTCTCCGTCAAGTGTAATTTGATTGGTGCATATTGTATTGTATCGGAGAGTCTTGCTTTTCTCTTTGTTTATATTGAGACCTACTGCTGCTGAGGCTGCTGCTACACTGGTCGTTTTCTCCTGCATTTGTTGTTGCGTTTGTGATAGAAGAGCTAGATCATCTACGAAGTCTAGATCGTCAAGCTGCATCCTACCTGTCCATTGTATCCCATGCTTCTCTCCAGATGTTGACGTCTTCATGATCCAGTGGATGACCAGGAGAAAGAGAAAGGGTGAGAGTAGGCAACCTTGCCTAACACCGGTCTTTACGTTGAATGAGTTGGTGAGTTGTCCTCCATGGATGATTTTGCAGTTTAATCCATCATAGGAATTCCGTATGATATTGACTATCTTCTCAGGTACGTGGTAGTGTCGAAGAAGCCTCCATAGTGTTGTCCTGTCCATGCTATCAAATGCTTTCTAGTAGTCAATGAAGTTGATGTAGAGTGATGAATTCCATTCAGTTGATTGTTCCACAATGATCCGTAGAGTTGCGATTTGGTCTGCGCACGATCGATGCTTACGGAATCCAGCCTGTCGATCTCGAAGTTGGGCGTCTACCGAGTACTTCATCCTGTTTAACAATACTCTGTTGAAGACTTTTCCTGGTATTGAGAGAAGAGTGATGCTCTTGCAGTTATCACACTTGCTAAGATAGCCTTTCTTTGGTATCTTGATCAGAAGTCCTTCTTTCCAGTCCGTTAGTACTTGTTCTTCATCCCTAGTGATCACCTAATTGACAACAGTTCTCTGACTAAAACTAACTCATTGATGAATAAACCTTCTTCAAAATATACAAACTCCCTTCACAAAACAATGCAACCAAGCAAACTGAAATGGCACTTCCCATTGAAACCAGATCATTTTTTTTATAAAAAAAAAACACAATTTCGAGTCTAATTAATGATCATTGGTGATTTTTTTATGCGTCTATAATATTTAGTCACATGGAAACTGTTTTTCATTTGTTACCAATTAGTGATTAAGCCAATAACAAAAAAAACAATGCTAAAAAAATAATAATAATGAACCATTGATATGTATGTATGATTGTATGAATACTTTACATAGAATGCTTGTTATAAAAATTCTATTTTATTTAATGGTTTTATTATGATGTTTCAATTTCCTGTTATTAACCATTTTGACCATTTATAAAATTAAACCAAATAAACACAGAATGTTTTAATGAAACTTTATTTTGTATCTTGACCTGTTTTATATATAAATTATTATTTGAAATAATATAGTTCATGTATAGTTAAATAATGAGGTTAGTTTAAGTACAACCTTTATTCGTTTAATAATAATACAATCTATGAACCATTAACCATATAAGCAAAGATGGATAGTGGCTAACAATGTAATCCAGTTTGACGCGCGTTTCGTCTTATTTGGGACTCATCAGCTGAATGTATCTGTATCTCAGAGTTGATGTTCATCTTTGTTTACAATGCTTGTGAATTAAGACTATATCGAGGCAGTGCGCACAGTATGCACATATGCCAATAAGAGACTGACCAGTTGCAGTCCTAAACATATCGATGGGAAGATTCAAACAAACAGTACCAAGTTAACCGTATAGATTCATTAATTTTTGGTGTGAAATTTCTGTTACTAATGAATACCACTTCATAAGATAATTTGAAAAATACTATGAATCAAAAGCATACGCTGATTGATCATTAAAAAGTAATCAGTGTCGTAATTATCTAGTCGGGTTACTGGGATGTAGAGTATTAGTCCCATCATGATTATAGATAGGAAATGTTGACAGATGCCAATTAACATGAATACCAAGTTTAGGATTTCTAGTTGACCAACTACAAACATTCAACGTCAAATAATAGTGCATATGTTGACGATTCACTTTAACTGGTGATCAATAGAATTCGATTTTCATTATGAACTAGACATGGATTACTGTTTAATAACTAATCACTATAAGTATATGTTGTTACTGAAGGAGGGAAATCATGATCTTAGTTTGTTATTAGAAAGGTTTTTGATAGCGGTGTTGAGTGATGGAGATTTGAATTCCTTTTAAATTACAAATATTCTCTGTTGACTACTGTGACCTACAACGTACATTAGATCCAGGGCCTCATGCCAATTGCTTCTAAACACCAAATATGAAATGTTATAATCTATTTGATACAAAAGAATCTTCTTTTCTCATGTAGCTTCAACAGTTTTTAGACATCATTTGAAAGTCTGATATATAAGATAATAACAAACAAATATTATCTACGATTCACATAAACTCTTAAAAATGTGACAATTCACTGATGTCACCAAATGAAATTTTACTACGATTTTAGTTCATCATACACATCCTATTAAACCACTCCTAATTCGACTCGGCTGAATGACTTTTTTCATAAAGTCTATAGATAAGTATCTTTTATTACTAATATAGTACTTTTTAGAAAACTAATATCCACCGTTGATCATATTAATACAGTGTTTCATTTCATTATATAATTCGACTGTTAAATATAAGCTCTAAATGGAATTGTTTAATATCAAGATTAAACTATGTAGCTTTGAAACATTCATTGCACAAAACTGTATCTTGATACCATTACAATTTGAACGCTAACCAAATTAGATACAAGAATAGGTTACGGATATGCATCGTGAATATTAACTGTAAATACTATCTTCAATATCTTGATTGAAAAGTAAATACTTGCGTAAAACAGAAAATATCTAATAAACTGGGTGAAAACACGAAGCTTGTCATCCATTATCTTAATGATCAAAGTAGGTTTAACAAGATTTGGATATTAATATCAGTAACATTGTAGCGAACAAAACACGACTTGGGACAATCGAATGTATTTAGACAAAAATTACAGACTATTTCACTAAATTCTGATAACCATACAATGAACAGTTAATTTGCAAAATAACAATCAATTGTCTCGATCTTCACTGTTCCTTCTGTAAATATCAATCCATCTTCCCTAATTTCATTGTTTGTGCATTTTCTTACCGATTGCGCTTCATTCCTGTTCTTTCCTTATCGGTCTACTGCCGAAATACATTCTATATCTAACCATCACCATATACTACTTATATGGATATAAGTAGACCACACCACAACATCAGGCGACAAAATTCATTAAATATCTAAGTTATTCATTCAAAAATTATATATTAGATTAAATATAAGTTACATTTTTAAGACCACAGAAACAAAATCACAATTATTCCAGTTTCTAATAAAACACTGTTCTGATTTTCTTCTTAAATTGACACATTGCGTCGGATCCCATATGCAACTATAGGTGTGGATTACTGAAAAGTCACAAAATAAAACTAAATATCTTTACAGTTTTATTTTGTTTTCAAGTGGAACAGTCTTCACAAACTCTCTGTTTCAACAAATATATAGCATCTTCCATACACTATTTCCCTAATATATTTGAAGCTGTTCTATTTTATCTCATTTAAAATTCACATAATTTATTTTGCATACCTTAATATTTTCCATACACTTGAGTACGATAGTTTTCTGGTTGTATTCATTTCAACCTGTTTGGTCAATAAAATTGGATTTTAAAGACAAAAATCACTCAATGAAAATCAATAATAGACGTCCTAGGTGATTTATGGCGATCGCTAGAGAACTCTGAAATTAGGTGTTGTACAGGTTGGTACTCATCAGCAGTGTATATCTCCCATTTTGATGAAAATGATGCACCTCTTGCGATCCACAACCGCATCACTCAACACCGCTATCAAAAACCTTTCTAATAACAAACTAAGATCATGATTTCCCTCCTTCAGTAACAACACATACTTATAGTGATTAGTTATTAAACAGTAATCCATGTCTAGTTCATAATGAAAATCGAATTCTATTGATCACCAGTTAAAGTGAATCGTCAACATATGCACTATTATTTGACGTTGAATGTTTGTAGTTGGTCAACTAGAAATCCTGAACCTAAGTTATTATCACCTGAAAGGACAAGCATTGGTTACTACTCGGTGACCAACCGATAAGGATTAAACTAACACATCGTACGATAACTAGATATTAAGAACTATAAACAATATGATTTGAACCAGTAGAAGTAACCACACCAAATAATGATCATGAAAATCAATGTATAATGATATCATTATTCATACTATTGAATTAAAATGTCCGATAAATTTTCTGATACCAGATTTTGTTCACCTGTATAATATTGTTTGTTATTCAAATATTCGAATCTAATAAACCTAGTTAATGGAGTTACACTTTCGACTTATGAATATTAAACAGATGAATCATGTAAGGTATTTATTAATGATACTTTAGATAATGAAATGAGATGATAATTTAACAGAACTATGTAATACTTGTGGAACAATTTGATAACACATGAAGTTGTCGAAATATTTATTTAGGTAACGAAAGATCAATGTAAAAGCATAATATAAGAACAACACAGACAGTCAAAAAACAGGCATTACACGATTTTGGATAATAAATCTAAATCAACATTATCAGAATTGATTTTATGAAAATATAAGCTACTTTTAAATAAACAAGCAGAGATCGAATCTTAGTATGGCTAAGACTTCAACAAACCTACGAACCGACATAGATCTAAAACGGAATATCGAGATTTCAACCATTAGTTGAAATGTAATATTTCCTCTAAAAGAACTGAATATTTCACGTTTTAGTTGTATGTGAAGCTATGGATAAGAGACCCTGAAAAATCACATACTAATCTTAGTTAGACAACTGATGAAAATATGAAAGCATTAAAAACTGTTTCGTTCTAATATAGGACTCCTCATTAATCTAAGTCCACAACCTTACTAACAGGGATCAGACCCAGAACTCTCGACACAAACGCTTAGCCTGTAGACCACTGGTGCCTAACTTCATTCAACCCTTATGAACTCATTGTATTACCCTTTCAAGGGTGCATATTGTTCACTTTTCCCTTATACTTGGAGCTTTTCTGCTATGGATTTTAATTAGTGATGAAAATCACCTTTGAATGAACTTGTGTTCTAGTATTTCATTACATGATCACTTAATTTCGTTCTCATTATTTTTTGCCTCTAGTATACTCGATGTCCTAGAATTTATTTTCGCATTTTCGCATGGAGCAGCATTTTATTTAACTGTTTCAACTTTATTCGGATGTTTACTACACTATGTGGATATGTGTTCGCGATGAGTTTTAATTAAATTTACTTTTACAAATATGTTAAAATTTACTCTTGAAATTTTGAAATACTACAGCGTGCAAGGGGCTACTTAGAACCTAACGGAACCTAACGGAATTCATATTATCCTGTTCAAATCTTTGTTTATACACTTTCAAGAAAATTTATTCATGGAAAATCTCCGCATTACTATCGCAATTGGTAATAGTTTTGAAGTCCAATTATAACAACGAAACGAATTGGGTTTTATTCACTTGGTTTTGTATACTTGTAACTTTCCATTGTTATTTGCGACTGAAATTGATCGGTCTCCTGTTGGTATATGTGCATCCTGTGTCTGAAGTCACAAGCTTTATAAGCAAAGATAGATAATGACTAGCAGTGGAATCCATGAAGCACGTTTCATCCTATTTGGAACTCATCAGCTGGATGTACCTGCATCTCAGAGTTGATATTCACTGTGGAAAAATATTGATACCCAACAAGTTGGCTATAGTATGCAAGTGAATAAAAGTCTGTTCAGACCAGAATTTGAACATAATCGTTCGAATGTACATGATCTGCCTACAAATATGGCATTTTAAACCAAAGTTCTAGTGATTAGAAGTGAAGGGCATTTCAATAAATGCACAGGAAAATTTATTTATCATCTAAGGACCTTATATGGGACTGGCTTGTATTATGGATTACAATATTAACTGGAAAAATCAATGAAAACAAGTAGAACTGATTTTTTATTGAAAGTATAAGAAGTAACCTGAGAGCAGCAATAGTAAAATTTCTTAATCTCCGGTCTTGACGTCAAGTTCTTGAAGCTTACTGTCGTATTAGAAATCATTGACTAACAGGACTTAGCAGATAAGTGAATAACGCAATGGCGTTTGAAGCCAAAGGTACTGAATCCGAGTCCCATAGTGAACATCAACTCTGAGATGCAGGTACATCCAGCTGACGAGTCCCAAATAGAACGAAACGCGCGTCCTGGACTGCATTGAGTTGAGTTTTATTATCAATTAGCATGGTATAATCTAATAAAATTAGTTTGTTTTAAAAAAACATTGATTAATATATAATTTATAACTCATATTACGACTCACTTTGGAATTAGATTCCATACAATATGCTTTAATAATAAAATATGATAAAAGTAGCCAAAAATAAGTTGAAAATTGAAAATCTAACATTTTGATACAAGAAAAATATTGACTAATTTATTGATACATTGATCAGTAAACATTTTACTGTTGATCCGTAAACGTTTTGTTATGGATCCGTAAACGTTTTATTGTTGATCCGTAAACACTCTGATCACATTCTAGTATTCATATAAATATATGATAAACGATTGTACTCTATTATTATATTCGATGAAATATGTTTCGTCTAAAAGTAGTAAAGTTTCATCAGTTATAAAAAAAGAAATTAGTCCATAATTGATTGATATTTATTGCCGAAATTTATTGACTTTATATTAAATCATTTCATTATGTAAAAGAGAATGTTTGAAAAATTTAGTACATTTTTAAAAGTCGAAAAAAATGAAGAAGAAGAAGAATATTTTCTGAACTGGATGATTTCGTCAATTTGGTTCTAATTGTCATATGAAAATCACATATAATTATGAATAATAATAATAAATCTAGTAAACTGTCGATGGTACAGATAACCAATTACGAATGTAGTTTGATTGTAAGTTGTTTATTTGTTTAGGTAAATTACAGATATTTTTATACAAAGGCACATATTGATACATTTTCAAGAGATCGTACATCTGACTATTGATAACCCCTGAATTCACTTACCATTAATCTACCTACAATATATTGTATAGATAATCTCCAACACACAATTACATGCATATACACACACATACATGCATAAGTATATACACAAGTATGCACATATTCACTTCACTCTACTTATAGTAATCAGTAAACCAATTATAATGATGATTTTCTATGTTCGAATTCATAATGAACATATGAAATTTATTCATTTTTTGTATAATGAATAAATATTTGTTTACAAATAAACTGATGACTGAATAACGAACAGTGAAATGAATTTCTCGCTAAGACAGCTATTTCACTTACTAATATTAATAACATAGTCATTGATAAAGCTATTGAAGCTACTTAAAGCATTGAAATTTAATTCAGTGGTTTTAATCTGGTATTACGTTCACAGAAAGATATGAAAGTTGAATGTTTAATCTAACGTTATGTTGATCGTTTGTAGGAGTTCAGTTAGAGTTCAAATAACTCACAGACAGTATTTCAGACTGTAAAACTAGATAATAAGGATTAAAATCCCACGGAGAGCATTGATTTCCCTAAAATTCCACGTGTCTAGCTGACAAGTATTCACTAGAATAAAATCTACGCCTAAAGTTTTATTTTAACCAACCCCAGTTATAAGACACTAGAGGTTTTAGATGCATTTGATCAACCTAAAGTACAACAGATCTCTTATACTTACCTGCTGAAATTCATCAACCGATTACCAGTCTATAATGAAATTTATCATAACTTAACATGTTATCTTACTGAGTTTATTTAGTCTAATGTGCATAATCATATGATAAGAAGTTGAAAAAAATGCACATTTCAATTACTTTAATGGTGATAATAAAGCTGTATCACCAGTTACATCTTGTGGAGAAAAATTCCAGGTACATAAACCTAATGAGTAACAATAAAAAAGGATTCTGAAATACAAGATTGTTTGAAGTAAATTTATTTGTATGTACTATATAATTGTAATTGTGAAACAGTGACTGGTATTTTGAAAAAATTAATTACTGTAGGTAGCCTTTATTCTTAGCTTCTGGTGTAGAAACTAATCAATGTATCAGAGTATTTCAGTATCTCTGAACAAATAGTACAGCATATCAGTAATGAGCGCTGTAATATCACTTCTAACAATTGGTTTCACTAGCATAAAAAGTCTGAATGTTTGAGAGATTGTTTTATACAAGAAATGGTAAGTTTATAATATACCAATAGATTCTACATCTATTCTCGTTCAAGTTTATGTACAAAAGACTGCATAGCTACCTGTCAGAAATTATGTAGTATTCATCGTTTAACTCTTCAACTACCTTTACAACTGAACAAAATACTGGTATAGTTAATTGTTATTACTACCGCAAAACTGTTACTTGTAACAAATGTGAACACAACTAATTAATTGATCCCATATAATTGGATAAGCACTGACATGGCTCAATGTAAGGAAGTAGGTAAGAATGAAGATGAAAATTTGCTGAAATTACAAAATAAATTCAAAACAGTAATCAGTACTAATTCAAAATTACACTACATTTTATATGATTTAGTTACTTACTTACTTACTCCCAGGGCAGAGTTTAAATGGTTTGAATTATTTTTTATGGTTAGCGTTTTTTAGCAAGTTAGTTTTTCTACGGGATGGGGTAGCTAACCTCATGCCCAACTCTCCTTTACCTGGGCTTCGGACCGGCAGTAACTCTAGAAGAGCCACAGGCGGAGTTATATGATTTAGTAATCTCATCAATAACTAAATGCATGTATACAATTTACAATATCAATAAATTTAATTATATCAATTGACAATAATAAATTATTTATTACGTCCTGACGATAGTCACTAACGACCTCATTGTTGTATTCTTATAATTATCAACGATTATTTATTTATAGCTTCTCGATATTAGCTCAGTAACTGTATTCTACAGGTAATAATGAATCTAGTTAACTAATTTTCTTTTTAAATTTTGTAAGTTAAACTTCAAAGTTGATAGATACTCATTGAACAGATTGATAATGATAGTATTATTAATCATTTAAATAACTTTCTTAATCTATAGTGAAGCATCATCTTTTACTAAACATTTTGAAATTCATCCCATTATTAAATTACTACAGTAACATCATATAATTGAGATCATGAGTCAATTGAAGCTAGATCACCATGGAAAACCTGGAAGCACTGAACGGTCGTTTCTTACTATTATGGGACTCCTCAGCAGTAAGCATCCACGACCCCACATGGCAAGATTCGAACCCAGGACCTATCAGCCTCGCGTGCGAGTGCTTAACCGCTAGACCACTGAGCCGGCATCCGACGGTGTTAATGTCTAACTTCAACCAATCCACGAAATTCAGCAACCATTCACCATTGTCTTCAGTGAATTACTATCTCCCAATAAACCTGGTTGAACTCCACTGGTTACTGCTTCTCACTAGAACTGATAGGTCCTGGGTTCGAATCTCGTGGGGCGGGATCGTAGATGTGCACTGCTGAGGAGCCCCACAATTTGATGAAATGGCCGTCCAGTGCTTCCAGGTTTTCCATGTTGGTCTAGCTTCAATTAACTCACGATCTCAACTACATAAAATTACTAAAAATCTCCACAAAACCCCCTTCTGATACCACAGTAACACTTTGTAGATTTATTCTGCTTAATCAAACAGTTAACTTAGTATGATGTAGAAACACTCATATGATCAATTACACCTTATATGAGACGAATTTCCTGGGTTTCTTTTTTGTAAATTATTTCTGAAAGTAAACAAAATATGATTACAGACTGATCTAGTTACATTTCGGTAAAACAAAAGCTATCTGAACGTTAATTAAACAGCTCAACGCTTCAAGTGATATTGGAAATGTGTTCAGAAGCGGGTTTCGTGGAGATTCTAGTAATTTTATAGTTGGATTCATGAATCGATTGAAGCTAGACCACCATGGAAAACCTGGAAGCACTGGACTGCCGTTTCGTCCTATTGTGGTTGCTCCTCAGCAGTGTGTTCACTTAGAAAACTTATTTCTTTTAAGGAAACGCACAAATTATATTCTACAATATATCATTATCAATTAAATTACAAAAATTGGTTCATGGAAGAATTCTCTTTTCGGCGAATTCATTTTCAAAGATGTACAATCGCAAAAATATAAACTTATTCTTCAGGATGATAATAATTACAATAATAATGATAATAAACTTCTGTTAGACATGGTAACAGTGACGTAGAACAAACAAAGGTATTTTTAAAAAATTTTTAATCAGGGAAACTAATAATCTTTTAATTGTTAAGAGCTTAAATATTCATCATAAAGATAGATAGGCAAATCATCGTCGGGAAAGGATGGCTCAGCATGATAAGATAAAATGTTGAAATTGAGATAAGATGTAATCAGGAGGATCATAGAAACAGAAATAAACCAGTTGAGGGTAGAAGGTGGAAGGGGAAGAAGATAGCTGTAAAGGAAGAAGGGTATGGAGAAAGAAATATGAGACATTAAGATCATGATAGAAGAAAAGGTTGCACCAGTCTCTTCTGGACACACTATTCTGGTTTTCTCAGATGTATGGCTATTGCTTTGGCAATGTTAAGAAGATGCAATATAACTGCCTTTGGAAGACTTCTACTTACCTTATAGATGAATTTGAACACTGAGTCCATCTAGATTGAGTAACCTAAGAATTAAACTTTGTACAAGAAATCTTATCACTTGGTTTTTCCAAACTAATGATATACACACCAATACTCCAATGAAAACGATTTACTTCAACTGAAATTAATTAGATAAATATGGATAATATTAATAAGATATACAATAGAGAACCTATTGTACATATTTATTTGTCTGGTATCATAATAATACCTTTGAAACAAAAAACCCATAAACCAGTAAACACTTCCTTGTCAAGTTATTTACTTCCAAATTATCATGCCATAAAACAATAATAATATTGACAATAATGACAGTGGTAATGGTAGCAGTAGTATCAGTAATAGTAGTAGTAATAGTAATGGTATTAGTGATAGTATAACATCTACTATTTGAAATATCTTTTAATTCGAAGAATAAGAATTATGTAAATAATCTAATAACTGAGTCAACAGTTAAATATATTCATATACAATGAATGAATGTTAAACATGAAATGATTCATATGGAAATGATGACTGTTTTGTTTGACTAAAGTAAGTTAATTTAATGATTAATCAATCAGAATTTAATATATGTACCACAATAGTCAACAAAGTGAATGTTCAACATTAAATAGGAATAATATATATTTGTAAAATCTCAACGAATGAATTTGAAGTAAAGCCAACATTTTGCCTGGCAATCTGGTTCAAGCTTTTTCAAGGAATTATTTCAAGGAATGTCCTACATCAACTCGACACTCAAATACTGTGAAAATATTCGCTCTAATTTGGACGAAAGTTTTTATATAAAATGAACGTTCATTACTTAAACTTGTTGATTGGTTAGATTAGTAAGCTTTAATAAATATTATTCAACACAAATACTTATAATCTAAATAATATCTGTGTTTATTTTTTGGTTAAACAGCTCTTACAATTACATCATATCTGATTGAGAATTAAGTCAGTCACCAGTTTTTCTGCTTCTAGTTATTTATCAAGTTAGTGGGAT